TGAGTCATAGGCCTACTGGTTGGTGTTGGAGTTATGTCCTTGGAGCCAGAAGTTTGAAAGTAGTCCTAAATGTCTGAGATGGCAACAGAAAAAGAAAAAAGTTTTTGTTGTCCAAATTCTGTTATTTGATATAAATAAATTTGTCTGCCTGGAATCAGAGCTGAAATGAGTTTGCGATTAGCCTGTAGTTACATATAACTTTTTTCCACTCCAAGTTCCTAACCATAAAATAGAATCACACAAGAATCAAGTAGACCATTGGTTGATATATTTTAACGTTATAATCAAACATATTTTCAGAGGGATTGATGTTGTCAGAAATAAAATAAAGATGTTTGCTCAGAAGAAAGTTACCTTGTCTCAAGGAAGACATAAATTTATAATTCTGGATGAAGCAGATAGTATGACAAGTGGAGCACAACAAGCATTAAGACGGTGAGAGAATCCAAAACTGTAAAGTATTCAATCAGAAATTTTACTTATAATGGATTAATATATTCATTCCTGCTGCTAGAGATCGCTGAAATAAATTATTATCTATTTTGAAATTGAAATATTATCTTCCTGAATATTGAACCATGTATATTTTAATGAATTTCAAAATCTCAAAATCAAAAATTGAGTATAACATATATAATTAATTCTGAGTATTTGATTCATTCTTGACACCCCTGTTTATTAGTTAACAAGTGGATTTGCCCGAAAATGTGTCTGTCTATTAATTCGTCAAAAGGTCTATCGTGTAATTAGATAATCCTGATTTTTTTACTAAAAAATATCAGATAATATCATTTCGATAAAATAAAATGTGAAAGTGAGAAATTGTTTTTTGTGTTGTTTGATACCCCTATTAAATCTTTAAATTCAATTAAAATAAATCCATTCCCGGTAAGGAATAAATATTTTTCAAATACCTAACTCAATTTTCAGAATCAGTATAAACTAACTATTTTGAATCGAACATGATCATATCACATCTGTGATAACGATCTGATACAAATATCATCACTTACGGATCTTTTTAGGACAATGGAAATATACAGTAAGACAACAAGATTTGCTTTGGCCTGCAATCAATCTGACAAAATTATTGAGCCTATACAATCAAGATGTGCTGTTCTGAGATATACGAAACTTACAGATGCACAGGTTAGGAGTTTGAAATGTCGGTAATTCGCTTATGTTTTTCAACTTTTTGCCATGCTATGTTAGACATGGGTATTAATTACAATTGGAATTGTATTGCATTATTGTACTCGGGAGTTTTATTTCTTAGACCCTTTTGTTCAGATTCTAAGTCGTTTGATGGAAGTCATAGAAAAAAGAAAAAGTTGAATACACAGATGATGGTTTAGAAGCAATTATATTCACTTCACAAGGAGATATGAGACAGGTAAAAGGTGTCAATGCCTACTGCTTCATGAGTAAGACAAGATTATATTCTTGGAGAGCAAAACTAACAAGATGGAATAGCCATATGGCGCATTGTGATGCTTTGTTCGGTTACCATTCGGTTCAGATTCTAGCATCAGCTCGCTAGATCATTTCTTGCTGCGACTTCTAAAACAATGTCGCGAGTTTGATACAAGTGGTGGGGTAAAAAAGTTGAGTTATGCCTGTTGAGCTATCCATCACTATATGTGAAAATTTTCTGAAAAAACTCATCACAGTTGTTCTCCTTTTTTTTAGGCTCTCAACAATCTTCAGTCAACACATCAAGGGTTTGGTATTGTCAATGGAGCTAATGTATTTAAAGTTTGTGATGAACCACACCCACTTCTTATAAAAAATATGCTGGATTATTGTATTGTTGGAAACTTGGATGAGGTAAGTTACGAAAAATTTCATTGTATTATTGGACCACAGCACATATGCTATTATCTGACAATGATGTGATTTGTCAGACCTTTCCTATTTATGATTCAATGTATTATGTACAGTTGGAATCACAGTAGTAGTGTTTCCCTTTTTTCTACAGAATTGGTAAACAGTTGTTTAATGAATCATCTGACAATGTATTGGCGTTTGACTCTCACCTGTTCTATTGTTTCAAATATTACGTAGACCTATTTTCGAGCGTTGAAAACATAAATAACACTCACATTGACATCAAAACTTTTCACTGTTCCAGGCGTACAAGATTATTCATCATTTTTGGTCAATGGGATATTCAGCAGAAGACATTATTACCAACATATTCAGAGTTACGAAAACACATCAAATGGCTGAGTATCTGAAGTTGGAATACATCAAGGAAATAGGATTATTGCATATGAAGATAATCGAAGGAGTTAACTCTCTTTTACAATTGTCTGCGCTTCTTGCTCGCCTATGTAAAGTTTCGAAATCTGCATAACATCAGTTCATGTAGACTGATTTGTACATGGTTTGGCGATCGAGGCAAGGAAGATCATTACCAAACTCAAGTATATGAACTATTTGAAGATTTCTGTCAGCAGATGTTACTGCCGATATTGAGGAAAATCTAGCAAGTCATGGATGTGTTGATTGGTAAATAATCTCCCATCAAGGGCCAACTTTTTCGATGTTAAAATGTTTTTGTAATTTTGACATTGCAAAATATTATCCTATTATTTTTCACTGCTGGTCTTTGATATTGTTACATTCAATCATAATTTAAACCAATATGAAAAAAGTTATTCACTGCATTGGTGTTTTCATTCAAATTCATAATTTTAGTTTCTGACCACTTCATTTGTCAATGCCGAAAATTGCAATGAAAAAAAATGACTACAAGATTTATTAATTATCTATTGTCCAAGAATAAAAATTATCTCAACAAATTGATCAATTCGTGGCGCAGCACGCACACACACACCGCACTTATTGTTGTTTACAATGTTTAACCATCAATCAAATCATGTTTTTATTAGCCATTAGGGAGAGGCACATAAAAATGACAGCAGGAAAATCAGGATATATTTGTATATATTCATGCCTTTGCACGAAATGGGCAGCATAACCGCAAAGGACCATTTGGTCAGCGGCTAGGGTACCTACCTTGGAATAGCTGTATGAATAAAACTTAGGATGGATGCAGAATTACCACAACGCAAACGCTTTTATGTCAGAGCAGCAAATTGTCAACAAACGTTTTTATAATAATTTTTCATTCAATATGCAAGACAGAAAAATTTTTCTCCTTAGTTTCTGGGGTGGAAAGTGACGTACGTTACCATGTTATTATCCAATAGACGAGTGCGAAGAATAATCGGCCGGCATTTTGTCTCCGGTTTGATTTCAGGACCATCCTTGTCATATTTTCGAGATAGACGGTCGGCGTTTTGTGTTTAACGTTAGAAACACTCCCGCCCTCCCACCTATGATACCTGAAGCGGCTCTTTTACAGAAGTTCCTCTCCCATCGAGAGAATGTTTCTTCGATACCTCCCTATAATTTACTACTGGAAAATGTATGTTTATTCTGAAGTGTTGGCGTTCATAAACTGGTTTACATGTTTGAAACCATTTTTAATAAAATTATTCAACCACGTGCCGCTTACAGGTACTGATAGCAGATTTCAGCCCGGTCTGTCGTCGCGTTTGCGAGACTTTTTGATTACTGCAACTCAAGCTATTCGGGAGAAATAAAGTTATTTAATTCACAACTATTTTTTAGAAACAAAATTGAAAACTGACAAATAACATGCAAAAATACGAAAACGGGGCAATATTTACAACCGCGCTAAAATATCTGTCTGAGCGGCTGCAGAAATTGCGATTGTTACCTCTTTTTGCTGATTGGTTACAGTTACGGAAAAAAATGAGGAAATCGGTGCCCGAAAAAACATCATTCCCACCAGCGGCGGTGCCCTGTTTGTTACGTCTCAGTTCATTGACTTCGGGGGATTTATTGATTTTATTACCGATGCCAGATTTTTAAGAAAGGACCCGCCGAGTTCAAAAAAGGAAATGGTTGGTCTCATTTGGCATTTAAATATTTTCCGAGGATACTGGTGTTTCCGTATTCCCATGCAGTTTCCTAGCTGAGGCTGATGTCGAATAAACTGACATTTAATTAAAATACTGTGGTTTGAAGTTTAGTGTTTATTTACTTTTTCGATTAGTATTCTCACGTACTAACGCAGTGCCGTAACGGGTAAAACGACGGAAAGTTGCCAAAACTTCATTTGAGAAGGGGACATTAAAGCGATTAAACAGTAATTGTATTATTTATACTGTATCACAGCTTGCACTTAGTGACATTGAATACGGTAATGCTATACAGTTTTAACTAAAAATGGGAACCAATACTGCGATACTATTCTTTGATACCGTATCAGGATATCGTTCTTTATGCTTGTGGCAATGTGAGAAATACAGAAATATGATGATACTGTCACATGAATATCTGAATATAATAATACAGTAATAGAATCAATGAAATCTAAATCACCAATGTGTGTGCTTGCATATTCTACAGATAGACAAATCGAAATCAGTACTGCAGTAAGCAAAACTCAAAAATTGACCATATGATCATAGTTTATGATTGCCCAAACGACTGCTCTTTAGAATTTCCAGCAAATATTGTAAAAGTCAAAAATGTGAAGATATGGAATTTAGATCATAAAATTAATTAATATTATCTGTTTGTTTTATCAGATGGTAAATGTAGGAAATAAAATAGTCTTTCTCATTCAACCTTGTGAGAGTTCTCATTATAATCAAGAAATATGGAGCAAAAATATACGACATTGTGTTTTAAAAACTCTTCATTTTTTCGAGGGATCAACGTTATTTCGGCCCCATTCGAGTGCGCAAAATTCCGATAACTGTCAACTAAAATGGGCATACAAATTTATGAACTCCGCAGGCCAAAGGTTATGTAGAAACAAACAAGATCTTAAAGAATTCACCGCATCAGAGTTTTCATTTTTCGAAGACGAAATACGCTATCTCGCAGGCGAGAGCAAAGTCAATGACAACAAAAATACAATAATACCAGGAGGTGCTCATGCGTTACATGAAGAATTGATGTCAATCGTACATGATTATGACTGGGAAAATTCCAGTATCATATCACCCGTAAAACTCAAAAGAAAAAATGGATCATTCAGTCGGAAAAGTGACAAACAAAATGCAAAAAGAAAAATATCCAATTCGATAGCAAAAATTCAATTAGAAGGCACAAAAAATCTTTCTCAGAATATCGTTGTTTTGTTAGCTGCTCTTCCTTCGACTGAAGAAGAAATCAATTCGTATTTTGAATGGCATGTGAATGATGCTGATTATGTTTTAAATAAATTGATGCCATCTCATCTGAAGTCATATTTTCGTGAAAAACATGATATCACACTACTGTGGTATGACACAAGAACACTGACACAAAACGATTGTAGTTCAGTAAGTTGGTTTTGTTTATTTGTAATCAAAAATTCATTATCTGCCTAATTATTTGCATTTTTTTAACAAATTTTTTATTTCACAGACCCTCGATGACGAAATAGGAGCCAATATTATGAAAACTTTTCTTGCGTCAGTAGGAGGATGTATGATTCCAGTGTCAAGGTTATGCTACAACTTTGAAATAGGTATATTATGTCTATGTTTTTTTGTCCTCATAAGCCAACACAGGTATGGAGCTGACATGATTAATGCGGATCGGACTCAATTTGAAACTGTGGGCCATGTTCATGGTTATATATTGACATCGCAAAGTAGAAATCTTTATTTCAAATACTAGTGAGTTAATTGGAGAAAATCATGTCCATAGGTAGGTAGCCTCAACCAGAGTGGGAATTCAGTGGCCATAAGGGGCCATAATGATGCTTTCTGTAGTGCAGTGTTTTTCTATGACTGAATGATTGCTTCTACAGAGCCATTCAAAGCGAAAATGTGAAACATTTTTTAGACAGTTGGCTGAAAACTTTTAAGGGTATAATTTTCACTAACCAAAAATATTTTTTTAACAGAAGAGGTAAAAGAACCATTAACATGTGATTGGAATTCGACGTGTCTATCTAGTCTTATTCCAATGACAACTTGGCTACAACGGGATTTAAAATTTCCTATGGAATCGAAACCGGCTGATGAAATTCACACTATTCATGTCTGCAGAAAACTGTTCGCATCTGGAAGTTTTCAAATCCAAAAGATCTGTACTCTAACCACTTGTGGTTTTGAAATCGATAAAGAGGTTATTAGTGCAATGCTATCAGGAGTTGATTGTTCAAGCTGCGTATCAAATAGTAATTCCAAGAACTCAGCGTGTACTGTATCGTATTCTTCAAATTGTGAGGAATCAAGATCCAAACTATGTGTAAGATTTAATGAAAATTTTTTACAAAAATGTGAAAATTCTGTAAAGGAAAAACCACCTGAAACTGTTTTCATGGTTACTGGGACCTTGCGACAAAATCACTTGTCACATCTTTTAAAATCTCACTTCATCAGTGGATTATATTTTACTTGGTGTGGAGTATCTACTGATAATACTTGTCTTTCTTCGTCGGATATTCTAATTGTTCGCACTCATAAGTATTGTACGAAATGTGGATCAGAACCATCTACTGATCACTGTGGTGCAGCAAGATATGCACTGTTACAAATCATGACTTCAAAATTGGGATTCATTGTATTTTTAAGGTAATATTATATCTTTGATTATCATGTAGTATCTTTACTAGACTTACTGAAAATTTTGATTAATCTTCCATTTTAATATTTAAAATATAATGCTTTTAAATATGGTATATCTAATGTTTTTGAATTTGGGTCATGCTCAACAAAGAAGTCAACTTATCTAAACAGTAATTTTTTCAAATGATATTTTCTATATTATTCTTCACATAGAGGAAAATACAATATCGAATATAATTCATTTCAAATCGATTTCAATGTAATTATTTAATTCGTTTTGAAAATTTCTGGCTCGTACACTTGGAGCCAAACATTAATTTTGCAATGTGTCATTCAGTTGTACTGTTGTTTTCGATTCAATTTACTTAACCTAATATTACATTCTAGTTCAACGTCCTCAAATGCCATAATGAAGCTTCTGAATTCTGAAGTTCCTGGGTGGATTGATCTGCCCATGACTCCACAACAAGATCATCAAGTCAACAATCCAGTCTGCGTTGAACTAGGTGACAAACCACCTTCAACTATGGTTCCTTTAAAGCCCAAATCCTTCCATCCTAGTATGCTAGAAAGATGGAGCAATACGTCAGTGACTGGAACTCTTGATGATTTGATATTAGATGATGTTACAACAAAGAGGTACTTACTCATACTCTATTCATGGTGATTTCCACCATTTTTTGTTTGGTTACTAAATATTATTAATAGGGTTGTACATCAGGGCTAGGAAGAAGTCTGTAGCTATGGCATTTTGATAGAGCTGCAGTTACCAGAAATTTTAGTTGTTCCAGCTCCTATTTTTTCACATTTATAACTTTCTATTCATACAAGCAATAAAACATTTTTTTTTGCAGCTTATAATATATTTTTGAATCTAATGGACCATACCAAGAAACCTCTATTTGTTTCTGACCAATTTGTTGAACTGCAGTGTATATTGGCGCTAGCATCTTTCTATTTGTGTGACAATTTTTCTTTTTTTCTTCAGTAATGAAATTCATGATGACATCTTACAAAAATTGCAAGATTTATATATGTCCAAGCCTGATCCAAGCATAGAATCAGAGGAAAAGAAAGTAGATAATATTGTGAGATCTTTGATATAATTATTCATTCATTCATAATTTAGATGTCTCACTTTGTTTTCTTGAAGAAGGCCTTGGACAAGCATTTACCAAGATGCAGAGATGTATTCTGTTTCTGGCATCGGGAATAGTTTTAGTGCATTGCACCCCAATTTTGGTTATGGACTTGGCGATTCAACATAATCTTCAGCATGCAACACCAAAATGTTAGGCTCAACAAGCTGACTATAAGTCAATTGGGAACCTTATTACAAGCCTGCTATTGTATCATTTTCATTCGTCAAGTAACTGATATCCAATTTCCCTTCCCCTATTTTCAGAAATCAAACTCACCACAGATTAAAAACTCTGAGTTCGAATCTGAAGAAAAAATGATTGAAATGTTGAAGATTGAATATAATAAAGCATTGGAATCAGAAATTAAGATATCAATTGGTGACGTTCCTACACATTATTGTGGAGAAGTTGTTCATATTGCTCAATCTATCGCTTCTGTTGTGTTTCATCATGCTCAAAATACAGAAGGTAAGGTGTTGACTGTTGACTATTGGCCGCTTTAGAAGTGTGTGTACCATTACCAATTTGGAGGTAACTAATTTTGTTCGCCTACTTTTCATCAAGTTGTGTAAAGGGACTGAAACCTATGAGCATGGGATATATTTACTTGAATAAAATTATGGCCTAACCCTAACCTGGTACACATACTATGGGAGTACCAAAAATTAATCCTTTGATACCATAAATCATTCCAGAGTAGTCTTTCCACTTTGGATCTTTTCAGCAATTTCATTTGTGTGAGCTTAGTACTCTCTGATGGCTTCTATTTACCACCAAGCATATATTAATGTTTTCGCTAGTTTTTTCGCCTTGAACTCTTGTAGACGAATTGTAAAGGAGGTCTTGACTTTCTATTGGACTGAAACTTGCAATATTGAGAAGTTATTTTTAAAAACCTTTGGAAATTGATTCATTTTAAATGATAAGCTCAACTTAAAAACTCTGACTATAGAAATAAAAATGGAATCAAAGATAATATTTTTATGAAAAAACATGCTAGAAGACCTTCTCTCTTATTTTCAGAATCAGATTGGAAGAAGTTTGGTGAAAGTTTGGTAACGAAACATTTCATATGTTCTGCAAGTGATATACGGAGAAAAAATATGGATGCTACCAGCGGAAAACTCCAAGAGTAATGTCTTGGAATATTGACCTTTTTTTCAGATTGTTAGCTGAAGTTGACCATTCTTACTAATCTGCAAATTTCTTTTAGGTCGATACTACAAATTCTCTTGAGGCTAGAATGTGTGAGTAGACTCCAACCCCTTCAAGATGATGCATTTGAGGAATTAGTTGAGGATATTTGTTCACTTTTGCGACTAATTTCACTCTCAATAAGTCCAGAAATGATGTTGAGATGCCTGTCTCATGTATTTGTAGAGAAGTATGTTTACTTGTTTGTAAATTTCATTTAGTCGAGGCATTGGAGATATCTTAAGACATAACGCCATGCTCCATGACTTTCATTAAGAAGGATAAATCAATAATTTATCGTTGTGAGCATTATGCTTATGGTAATATGGAAATATAATTTTCTAATACAGATAGGTAATCTTCATACTATGCAATTTAAGAGTCCTGCTACACACTGACACAAATGTATTTCTGCAACCCTTCATCTGACCAATGTTAGACGAAACGTTGCATAAATACATTTGTGTTGATGTGCAGCAGGAATTGCATAGAATAGTCGTGTTTATTTCTGCTACAGTACTCATGCATTATACGCATCCACTAGCATAAAGGCATAGAGAAGGATAGGGAGTTAGTCTCTCACAATCCAGCTCATAATTAAGATAAATTTCAATAGTGCTCTGATAAGTAGTAGTACAATAATTCTAAAAATAATTAATTTCTAGTTATACATCCACATGTGGAGAACTGTTATGTGAAGTACATAGTGAACTAATGCAGCCAATACCTCTACAATTGAAACCATTTTCAAAGGAAGCTAGTGAAGAGAGTGCTGATATGACTGGAATTAAATCAGTTTTAAGTTCCGTAATGAGTAATAACTCAAGTGCTTGTTCTTTCGGTCCTGGATCTAATAGCAGGTATCTTCTTATGATTTTTGTTTTATCTTTTTAAATATATGTTTTATCAAAAATATCTTCAACAAAAGTTACATGTGTTCAGAGCTTATCAGTGAATAGTTATCAAGATTGGACATGATAATTCAATTTTCTTTTTTATATTGCTTATTCACGCCTTTCGGCTATGAACAAGGCACTGTAAAAGCAGCGTGTTATATTTGATGATATGTAAGAAGCTACTGTATCTATTTATCAGTCTCATAAAAACACCAAAGATTAAATCTAAAACTTCCGCTTTAGGTTTTTCATCTAATTAATAGTTATTGATAATATTTGTCATTCTTTCATATAAATCTTTCCAGCATGACAAGAAAGCCTATGCGAAGAATTTCATCCTTCACACAACTAGGTCGTCAAATTGAAGTACCTGGGCTTATCAAGCAAAAGAGTAGTGCAAGGTACATGCTTTGGACCACTTTAGTTTTTGCTTTTGGAATCAAAGTTTTTGGAATTTTCAATATTCAATTATTCAATTGAATATTTAAATTATATGTTTTTCAGCCTCAATGATGAAAGAACTGGAACTGAGAACATTAAGAGTAGGTTACGAAGTAGCGCCAAGAAAGACAAAAATACCAATTTGACAAGTAAGGAAATTGAATGAGATTAAATTATCCCTAATTCAGTCATTCAGTGATAATTCAGGCCTCTTTTTTTGGTAAATTGTTAACAATGATAGCTTCACATAATTGGACAAGAAGTCTACATTTCGATAGTTGTGATAAATTTTGTTGTGCTGTTGAAAAATTATCCTTTCCCTGATTCCAATATATGAATCAATTTTTCATTTTTAGTGCTTAAATATGGAAGCTACAAGAAGCTATTATTTTCTTGTTTTTTCAAGTTTTAGGATAGGAACATTTTATTCCGGAATGCTTGTCCTCTCTGACAATCTTTTCGGCAAACACGGTGTTTAGATTCATTGTACATATGAGCGACTTTCATACCCATATATTTGAGACTTGTTCTTTTTGATTTATCGTGATATTTCGATATCGAAATTTATGATCTTACATATATGGTATAGCAAACTGTTATTTTTTCAAGTTTAAACAAAATGCCTACTGGGAAATTTTTCCACAGTAATCCAAGGAGAGACATACTTGTCTGCCCAGTAAAAGTTCCTTTATTCTAGTTTAAATTTGTTTTCAAATTTTGATTCTAGGCATGAAAAAAGTTGGTCTAGTTAAGAGAGACTTATTTTCAGTTGGTGATGGAGGAAACAAGTCAAGCGGCGGAAATGTATCGAATTTTGAATCGTCTAGTAAGATTACTACCAGTTATTAATATATATCATTACAGGATGTGAAAAACATTGAGTATTCAATAATACCTTGTGGAATATGGAAATTTTTTAATACAGAAATTCATTAACAACTAGGTATTCAAACAAACAACTTTTCAAACACCTTTTCCGGACTATGTTGACATGATTGCGCTTTGGGGTTTTGTTAAATCGGAGCATTCAACCCTGGTCCTCACCTTTACTGGATTGTAAAAAGTGGATATGCCTGGCTGTATGCAAATTTTGATAATTTCAAACCCCTAAATTCTTTGAATTAAAAATAAATAATGTTTATTTTTCCATTCTTAGACCAGAGGAAACCGAATCGAAGAATGTCAGTTAGCGACACACCAGATTCAAAACAACGTATGACTGCATTGTCGCGACAACGCCTTCGGCTGCACAAAGAACAACGTAATAAAGACGACAAAGAAATGATGACGATAATTGAAGAATCACCAATGAAATTAGAAGATGAACCAGTGCAACAGAGAACAGCAATAAAGTGAGTTGTTCCATGTTGAACATGAAGTATACCTGTTCATCATTTACAAAATACCATGATTGTTATGAAAAATCACCCTTTTTTCTGCAACTATACCAATCGATGTAAAATTATCAGTTTTTAGTAAAGATGGAAGAAATTGATATGCTGCTTTTATATATCATGAACACACCTTCGTATAATGCTTGGTGTATTTTTTCAACATTAAATTCAGTATAATTAATTGGCTGACATTGCACTCTTATCCTCAGCTTACATAAGCAGTTCATTTCAACTTCTATTAAGTTTCATTGTATTCTGTTTATACTTGTTTTTAGTTTTCAGTACAACGTTACAAGGCTTGTATCAATTAAGCTCTTTCACAATTTTATTTTTCTCAGATGATAATTTCAACTTTTTAATGTTCTATTGTTAATTAGTTTCATATAGCAATATCTTCAATCTTTTCTTTTAAATTGTAGGAGTCCACGTCATAAAGTCATGTTGGCGAGACGTCATTCATTTTACTGTGATGGTCGAGAGTCACGTAACGTCGCTCGAGCAAAAATAATTCACCAACACCAACAAGTGGCTCCTTCCACTCCTTCAGTTGATGGAAAAAAGAAAAAACGGGCGGAATTATCAGATGGAATATCACCTAACAGTTTGCTGTTTGTTCACAACAGTCGAAAGAATTTTGCATCACCAGTTCGCACAAAACCACTGTTATCTCTTTGTGATGACTCACCTGCAAAAAATACGCGAAGTCATGCTACGAAAGCTCTTTTTCAGAGTCCTGTGAAAGAAAAGGGGACAAAGGCATTATTTCGAAGCCCCATGAAGCAAAGTGGTGGTTTAACGAATTGGCCCCAGTCAACTACCCCCAAAAAGATTATGAAAGCTAAAACTCCCGTGAAAATCACTAGCGATGTGTACATAAAAGGAATCAAACCTATTATGGAGTCACCATTAAAAATTGAACAACATTTAGGTTGTGATGTCTCACATCCTTCTTTTGTGAGTAGCTCAATGTTATCGCCAGTAAAAACTCCACTGAAAAGAAAATCGATGACACCGAAGGCAAAAAATCCTCGTAAAATTGAAACAGTTGGCAATAACATATTGAAAATGAATTTGGGGTCAGATACTGACGATGCATGTAAATATCCAGATTTACTCGCTGTTGCAGATGCTGGGACTGATGAAAAACTTTCGAAGTCCCAGACTACGCTAGATTGTTACGTTATTCGCACACCACGTGAAAAACGAGTTTGTTCAGCATCTACGGAAAAATCTCAAGAATCTAAAAAAAGGAAATGGTCTGTTGATACAACCCCAACTCGCGATGATATCAACAAATGGCCAAGGAAAAAACGAGGTACTGATAAATCCTCTCCCGGCATTGTTTCTAAAAAGGTGAAACGATCCGCAGATGAATTACTCAAAAACAGAGACGCGCTTGCGAAGCTATTTGAAGATTGCTTACAAGATACAGAACCCGAATCCTTCCATAATGATGTTTTTTCAAGTCCCGACAACGGACTCATTGTTATGGAAAGTTGTCAAAGCACATCGGCTGGAACGTCGAAAAGTTATTCAGCGGTGAAAGCCCCACCTTTACTACATGAAATGCGATTACGAAATACAGACACAAATGAAAACATTGTTGGCTCACATGATTTTCTAACGCTACCTCCAACGCCGAAATTGCGTTTGGGGATATCGCGTCATCCAACTAATAAAACAATAACTTTCAGCAAATCAAAAAAACAATCAGCAGATGAAATTTGGAACGAAGTTTTTCCTCTTGATGAACAAGATGAAAATTTACCAGAAATGAAGCCACATACTAACATAGTTGGCGAAACTAGTAAACTTTCAGCTCGATCACTTCTTCATATTCAGAACTCACCTATTTTAACACCCAATCAAAAAAAGGCAGCTCGAGCAAAAATGGATTTCGTAACATAGCTTGATTTATATAATGTTCCCCCTTATAGAAATAAATTTCAATTGACATGGTCTTGTAAGCAATTTTTTAATGGAAATATTACAACAAATACTTTTTATTCCCCTTCTTTTTCTTCAATTTTTCCCCTTTTTGGTTCTGAATGGATGGACCTCATTTTCCGAATACGCTTTGATACTTCAAACAAGCGTTGCACCTGCCTATACATGATTACCATAGTATACATTTGTTATTTACTCTGATGTTTTTTGATTCATAAAATACTGGTGAATCATAATCTTTTGCCATGTTATTCCACTACTCATTGTTGGGATGTGTTGGTTTTTTCTTCTATTTACAACTCGATATCTACCATGTCTATCACAAGAATTTTTGATGAACTGTTTTTGAAGTTTTTTTTTTGAGACTTTTTTCTGATATTTTTCATACAATATGACAATACATAGTTTTTGTTTTATTTTAGCGTTATAGGGATAGAAGAGAGAGCGTGAAAAGAAATGACATGAACTTTTTCGGGAGTCATATTTTCACCCGGTAAATGCTTCAGCTGCAAGCGTGCATGACTTATTTTGTTCAATCACAATATGCAAGACAAAAAAGCTGATAGATAGCTAAGATCAAAAACACTAATTGTACTGTATATAAGCTTCGAAAAGAATTGTTGGGACATGTGTCTGTTCGTAGCTAGAAGCATTTCTGTCAAAACGTCAGATGTGGAAATTGACAACTAAGTCTTGTTAAAATAGAAGCTGCATATCTTGGAAATACTTTCTCTGCCAACGCTTAAACACGAACTCCAGCGAAGGCTTTGTATGCGGTGTTTCTTTAAGAAAAATCTAGGTAAATCATGATATTCGATGAATATACTTTCTGCTGGGCTATTGCTAATGTCTCGCTTCGTATTAATGGTCCTTTTGCTAAAGAGCAGGCTCATCTATCGCATTAGCTAGGACTGCAGGACTTTTTTGGTCCATATATTGTTAGTTTGATAGTAGTGTCCGTTTTCCATAACTCTGTGTGCATTAATCAGCGCTGATTAATCAATTACGCATGCTAATTATGCAATCGTTACGGCACATATTACGTTAGAAACGCACAGAATAGCTGTGTGTAGTTACGGACAAATATTAGTAAGACCAGAACCACCAAGGACGGACATACCATATGTCACGATACAATCAATCGAAATAAAATAATGGAAGTGCTTTTGTTTTACATGTGATGAGCCCACTAAGCACAAAGTGTGTGGTTTATAAAATTTACAAGATAACTGTAGGCTCAGACTTATGGTTCCCAACCTTTCTACCTTGGAGGAACGCTAAAATTAAATAAAATGGAACAGCGTCATGAACTCAGCTCAGTCATCTTATTAAAAAAATACAAATGACATTTATTGTGACACTGTCTTGTTGCTACATCGCCGAATTAGTACTGTAATAATTATTATGCTTCTTCTTTCATTGTTGTGAGCGCGCGTGATTTTGTATACGACAATACATTCGAGTCTCGTCTTCTGTTAGAGTAACGTGTGTTTTCTGTCCTCGCTTGCACGACGCTAGACAGAAGAGTTTGGTTATTTTATGGCGCGGTGGCATGCGTTGAAAACGAATTTCACTTTATCACTTTGTAATAATCTTCAAAAAGACTGAAATGGCTTCACCTAAAGCTCCAAAGCAATGGCAGATTAGCTAGTTCGAGACCATCACCTCGTTCGAATCGTGGCGCCAGAACCTGCTATATATTCTTGCAATAGACGGAAACAAAAATACGGCAAGAAATTTCGTACTGGTCACTTGCGTCAATCAAGCCGTGAATTTCAGCCCCTATTCACTCCCTACTAAACAAACTAACTGCCAATGAAGAAGCTAAAGTTGCACGAAGATTTTTTGATCAAGTCACATCTAAGAACAAACACGCTCGTAGCAAGGAGGCTCCATATTGCAAGCTGGGTGGCTCAGCAAGTGCCCAAAGTTGCCAGAGAGGGATCGCGAATATTTAACCAGAGCAAGGTATAGTCATGCAGAGAAGCAACCAATACCGACATTATCGACGCAAAGGTAAAAATTTGTTCTTCTTTAAATCTTACACGCGCCGTGGATATTAAACGATGGTCGGATTCCTCGGTAGCCTATACTCTCGTGATAAACTAGTAGAATTACAACATAAATTCGATGAACTTCAGATGCCCCGAAAATGTAGGCGTAACAGTAGAATATTTAAATACATCGTTATTGTTAAAATGGCTAATTGGGGGTCATAGACTGGTGACTGCATTTGCTAATGTTTCACCAGACGTAGATTCAACTCTGCATAAAATTGCTTATTGGGAATATATAATTGTATCAGATTTGACCAGCGCCTTTTAACAAATACCTTTAGGCAATCATCCATGAAATATTGCGGTGTTGTAAAGTTGTAAACCATTCCGATGAGTGAGAGTGTATTCTCGAAATGCAATTGGAATGCCTGTTTCTGAGACGGCACTAGAAGAGCTCGTTAGCTGGATATTGGGAGACCGGATCTGGCCCGCGGACCGTAGGTTGCTGATCCCCGGGCTACGCGAACTACTTTACGGCGGGAGAATCCTCTCGCGTGTGATTATCGCCCACAGAATTCAAACCTGCGAACGCACGCAGAGTACAGTAATCAAGTTCACGAAAACAACTCGCAAATTAAAAAGAAAAATTATAATTACTTATCTCATTTGCAGGCATGTTTGTAATCGGTTTAATCTTCACGATGAGATCTGGGAGTTACTTCCTCGACATGTTCGACGGATACTCAACAACATTTTGACTTGTTTCAGTCGCAATCTTCGAAACAATTGCAGTTGCTTCACTCTTCAAGCTAGAGAAGTTAGTGCTTTATACTATTTGTTTTCACGTATGTATTGAACTTTGTTTAGAGCAAGACCTTAACCCAGGGGTGCGTAACCGTTATTAATACTGGAGGGGCAAATACATTACTACTGGAGGGGCAAATACAAATAACTGAGTGAAACCGCAAGCCGCACCTTTTTTTAACACAAACTCTCTAGAGAATATTTCTGTTATTCAATATTTTTTTTCATGATGCAAGGATGCCTAGTTGCGTAGCACAATAACTAAATTGTCATCACAGATTAAAATCTCATATCCACCATATCACTCGGGTGTAATGAATTGGGTAGACCAGCGTTTCCCAAACTGTGTTCCGCGGAACACTAGTGTTCCGCGAGCATCTTCGAAGTGTTCCGTGAAAAAGGAATCAAAAAAACGTCTTAAATAGTCGCCATGGAGATATATGGCAGGGCTTCCTAAACTAGGGGCCGCTAAACGAATTTTAAGGGCCGCAAAGAGAACACCAGTTTTACAAAACATCGAAATCGCAATCGAGCTTTATACTCCAAAGTCCGCCCGCCATTATTAGACCAGAACAGGAGTAACTTAGAAACATGTGGCCAAGTTAGAATTTCTTATATATTTATCAATGTCTATCTAACAGCCAATCATAACGCGTAATTCAAGTCACGTGATCGGCGCAGAACCCCATCTGCCATGTAACAGCCATGCGCAGACGGACATCTTAACAGGAAGTCCAACCCCCTACCGGAAGTTCCTAATTGCCATGCGCACGAAAATACTCAACTCCCATTGGCTGATTCAACCTGCGCAGTAGATTACCGGTCATGTACTTGCCATGCGCGAGATTTTTGAAGAAATGACCGTTGCCAGATATTTTTTGAACGGTCTGATTCAAAATCGGACCGTCCAAAAACGGTGAATTTTCGCGCATGGCAAGTGCATGTCCGTTTTGATACTGCGCAGGTCACGTGACTTAAGAATTTTCTGATTGGTCGATTTTCATCAATTGAAATATTCCTATATTGTATTAGGGTTTAAGGACCCCGCCCTTGTTACTATAAAAATAATGAGAGAACTGCTAGTGTCTGGAGGAATCCTCAAATAGGTTACTTGAGATACACTTTCCCCTGAGATTGAAGCACTTCAATTTAAGTCACTCTAACTTTCTTTTGGTTAACTTTAGCTGCTGGGCCCTTTCCGAGACAGTTATGAACACCATTTTAATTTTAATTAATTTTTCACCACTTGTTGAAAGTTGCTATCTAGGACTGCGGTAATTAATCTGTTATAAATCATTGGACGTAAGCATCGGCCGGCCTGATATATTCTAATATTTTCAATCAACGTAATTACACAAGCCTGCATACTACCACGTACGTGGAGGTAGACCACTCTGTCACATGGGCGTAGGCTACTTATGTATGATAGGCCAATATCCAATTGTGGATAACGGCCACATCACAACTAAAAATAGGGACTAGAACGCACAGCACGCCAAAAACAAGATCTGTAAATTCTTCTTGTATGCACTAGAGATGTACCGATGTTGGCAATATCGGCTAAATGTAGACCGATATATATATTTAGATTTTATTCTGATCCAGAATGATGTATGTTGACTTTTTGCTTGGAGGTTGGCGTTCGCGCCAACTTTTTCTATATATTGACTCTTTTAATATTAGGCTACATGGTATTTACGAAGAAATATATCAATCGAATATTAGTTGGCACAAAATCCCGCGCACGCAACCCTTACCATTATCATCATCTAGCCCGCATTGGAGAGTGCAGACAATAAGTTTGACTACTATCATATCTGACCTACACTGAGGAACAAATGCTTTTGCAATACAAGTTAATATTGCAAATGCGTTCAATATCATTGATGCAAACACCACACACAAAACCTTCGCAGTTTTATTATATTTAAAATCGTATTATCATGATTACTACAAATATATTGATTTATAAAAATCCACCAATCGATGATCATTTATGGTAGCACAGTATTTGATAAAGTCACTCTCTAATTTAGAAGCTGGACAATCGTCAAATGCTGCCATTCGCCAACGTCGGGTTAACATATGATTTGCTGAAAAATAGAATCCGCATGACTTCAGATCAACTGTTGGATTTTTTTCTTCGGGGTTACTCGACGCGACACTGGGTTTTGGGGGGCTTTCATCATTCAACCCAGGTGTGATATCAAACCCGCTTTTCTTCCCCCTCCGTGGGGATATGAGGTGAGACTGAAGTTTGGTTTCATGACTGGGTGACATTGGGGTTTTTACCCCTCTTATAATATAATGCTTCGCAGCCAATGAACGACCTTGAACCTGGAAATCATCAGTCACTGGTATTTCAAGGAAAACTTGTCCTGTGTAGTGAACGTAATGTCGACTATTGGCAGAGTTACTTCGTTCAGCTTCAGGGTCGCGACCAGCAAAATATCTGACGAATCCAAATCTATATGACAGAAAATGTAAATAAGTCCTAACAAATGCATGTAAAGAGTAGATAATGTGACAGTGACTGCTCAAGCAAAATATATATTCTATGTATCCACAAAAAGTCGCTTGGCTCATGGCTGCTGAAAAAGTAACATCATAAGAAGGGGTTTGGTTTTCATTTTGATAATGCCTCGTTAGAATAAACATACCGGTACATACATATCTTCTGATGAGGTTTCAAATGATAGATTTGTTGAGTTTTGTTGCTTTTTACATACCGGTATGTGAATTTATGTTGTAGTTTGAGAGCCTTAGAATATAATGATCGTGTTCCCATATCCGTACAACTGCGAGCATTGGACTGAATGGGGCTCTAGCCCAGTGGGTCCCAACTATTTCTTGAGCGACCCAAATTTAATTGAAAATAATTTTTGTGAAATCTTGCGACCCAATGACATGTTCAAATACTAAACTTTTCTGTTATTTAGTATTATTAGGTAAGAGTATGAAGCACACCTTATTGCAATTTTCTCCATAAATTGAATTATCCTTTTTCTGCATTCCAAACCTTTTGTAAGCAATTCTGAAAAAAAAAAAACGTCATAGCATGAACAAGTGTCCTATTCGACTTTCATATAAATTTAAATTCAATTTCTCACCTTCAAATTCTGAAACATCGCCGACTAGAGAAATTAAATTTAGTGGTACAAACAATGGACAATGTAATGGTGATGCATCCTTCTCCGTGTGTGGAAAAGCAAATGGATTGTTTGGCATCGGTAACATACAAAGATTGCATCGTTTCACTTCACGCAACCAACTTTGCAACTGAAGAAATCGTATAAGAAAATGTTTATTACTACAGTTGAATATAGGTAGCTACTATACAAGACCACGTATATCACTATATATCAGTGGTTCCCAAACAGGGGGCCCTAAAACTCCCTATTCATCTTAATTGCTTGATAAGGTTATATCACAAGTTTTTTTCCCCTTCGTTGAGCATGAATCGATTGAACATAGTGAGATTTGAAATCTGCCAATCCAAGCAACTATGAATACCGCTGGAAAGATAAACAGGGGGACAATGAATACAAAAAGCTTCCGGAAGGAGTCCAGAAGATAAAAAATGCTTTACTTAAAGATGCGAGAGACGTTGACTACACAGGATAATACAAAGATTGGCTGCAAGACATTAACTATTGAGAACTAGGAAAATTAGCACTAATTAACTAAAATATAAATACAGCCTTTGCTTTGAGTGAGCTTGCTTGAGAACATTTCAAATTCCTACCATTTCAAATAAGCAAGTAGCTGTTGCCACCATCCATTGTACATTAAAGCTGAAAACAGTAGATTTTTGCCAAGGTTTTATACTTGATTGATATTGAACCTGGCACCACTCTGTTCTCCCAGTTTTGACTTTGTTATTCAGAGGAATGTGAACAGTCTATGATTTGAAAGTGTTAAAATATTGCAGTACTAAATGACAGTAATGTATCTTAGGCCAGTCAATAGAGAAGATATTTATGCCTCGCTGGCTAAGCATTTGTCTATTGACGTTCGCCGAGTTTGGGGAAGTTTGATATAGACTGTATGGACCATTCAAAGATGTATAAAAACATACATAAAAGCATTGAAAAATGACTAAAAGCATAGAAAACGTGATGGTGAGCATTAGCTGACATAAAGACAGTTACACTAAAATCAATATTGTTAGTCGGGAGCAGTTGCGGTGGATGTTACACATTTACTGCGATTGTCTAATATAAACAATTGCGTTGATTGAAAATATAGTTTGGTGTCTGGTTTAAAGCAAACAAAATATCCATATGTATAATATAAGAACTGCACCTTCATTTCAGGAATTGCTCCACTGGGATTTCTACTTCGAGAATCATTCTCAAGCAAGCTAGATAAAGCAGATTTTGGTCTTTTCTTCCCTAATTTAGATTCGATTTGGAGGACTGGTTCTTCCTCTTTACAATATTTCACTTCTAATTCCAACCATCTTGATTCAAAAACTCGTAAATTTCCTCGCCCGATTGTATCATATTGATGACTAGTAGGGTCTGAAACTGTGTTAAAAACTAGAGTGAAGTAAAAACTTAAATAATGACCTTTGGGGGCTTTTTTACACTTTCACTCAAAGGCTTCGCACAAGCATCCAATTATACATAAAAAGCTTTTATTTTGTGAATGACTGAATCATTCTTGTTCAGATTTTCCCACCCAATCTAATTACCGTACACCTTGGCCAAGGCAGTAGTAGCAAGTTTGAAAAACCCGGTATCTTCAACCTTGCAGGCTACACCATAATTGTGAAATATACAGTGATATAAAGGTGTTGGTTCTGATTTAAACAATAATGATAAGCAAATTTTCAAAAGAAAAAACAATTGGAATGGTAGAATTTTGTCTTAAATGGTATATGCTTGGAATAGAAGCTCGTTTACAGTCAAACGTAGTTTTTGAGAACTGAAGCACAATTTGAAGACATGATGTGAACAGAAAATTTAAAAAATTCCTGCAAGCTAATACAAGATATATACATACTTTCATTATGATCTTTCTCATCCGTTAAATAGTAAATGAAATAACCATATTTGAATGGGTGATCACAATATCCAGATGCATGACAAATTAACTTGGATTTCCTCATTTTCTAAACACAAGAAAAAACTAATTAATAAGAACAAGAATGCCCTTAGAGAATCCCCTTGAGGACCACAGAACAGTTCTTCAGAAATCATGAGCAAAGCCCTTCACTAGGTACCATTCTTAATCAATAAATTAATTTACGTAAATTAAATGTAATTTATTTAATTATTTGGGGGTATTACATATATTCTTTTGCATTCGTTTGTTGGTGTTTTTATTGTTAAACATGATGCATAAAGATAATTAATTGATGAAAAAATGTTAAAAACAAAAAAAAATTGAGAAAAACACGACTCCAAACATTGGCTCATTGCGTCCATGATTTGCAGCAACGATTCCTAGAATATGCAACTTCTCACGCTGATTAATACATGAAAAGTAAATAACACAAGCCAAAGTTCCATTACGTACCTCTAATAATTCAACTGCATCAGAGATTTCATCTATACCAGAAATATTTCTTATGCACCAATGTACACATTCAATACTGATGAAAACGTCTGAGTGTAATCCTCGTTGTCGTGATATAAAGGAGAAATCGAACCTTAAAAATAAAATGTGGGAAATTGTATCAAGATGTGAGCTGACAAATGGTTCGGTTAAACATGGCTGTGTATGATCTATTTTCGAGAATTAGAATAATTGAATTTTCTGTTTTTTTTTTTATAGAGTTTTGCATTGGAACAACGTTGTTGACATTATGTCAAACTTTAGAGACTATTACTTTACTGCTGCATTACTGCTAGATTGATATAGAATATTTAAAATGATGGCAAATCGCAAGATAGGACTCTAGAATACTGTTAGTAGGTAAATGGACAGGGTCGTGGAAATTTTGACTCAGCTAAATGCAGCTCCTAACTCCATGAAACCAAATTTTGATGACAGAATTGACAAATATGAAGACTTATTTATTGAAGTTTAGATCTTACACAAATAACATACTTTTTATCTCTCATTGCACTCGAAATATCTTTCCAGTCTGTATCACGAGTGAGAACAATTTGAGATATTGACTCTTCTTTGGCTTGAGAAACATTTTTCTCAAGCTGAGCAAGTTCTTGGTTCATCTGATTGCCCTCCTCTGTCTTGAAATAGAAATTTATAAAATACTGGTTACCGAACAACGACAATCTTTGTAAAGTGTAACAGTAATTAGTGAAAAAGGTTGGAACTTCAAGAAAAATACATTAAAAACAACCTAATACTCTCAAAATCGCAAGTTTCACCAAAGACCCACACAACCGCGATGGCCTAGCGGTTAAAGCGTTGAGCTTAACTGTGTCATTCAAAAAATAAAAAAAGAACTTCTCTCATTGACAAGTAAAGTAGCCATGGCAACAATAGTACAAAGTAAAGTATTAAAAATGATATCTACCTTTCTAGAAAGTATCGCCACTGGTTTTGCATTGACATTAGAAGAATGAATCTTGCTAGTGATATTAGGCGGAGAAGCATGCATTTTTAATTGTTGAGGTGTCGAGCGTCCGCTTGCAGGTGTCGTAGCGGGAGATGGAGAATTGTTTTGCTGAAAACTTCCGGCACTGACAGAGCTTGCAGGATTAATTCTTTGCGAAGATACATCAATATTTGTGGGCAATGAAGACGCAGAAATCCCACTGATGCCAGATTTTTTATTCATAACCTATCACATAAAAGTACTTTAGGGTCAAAAATCAATATAATGGTATTTGTACGAAAAAGTAAAAGGGTGTTTACCAACTGTCGTCTTAAAGGTAGAGAATTAGCAGGACGTCGAATCTTATTCATGTAGTCGAAAAACCGGACCATTCCATCTAATATTTGATTGTAATCTTGATTTGAAGTGCCGTCATCTTCGGAATGAAAACCATCAGCCTCAAATAGGTCAAACCTGGGAAAAGGTTGACTTAAAAATGGCAAATTTTTTTTTTGTGTGTGTGTGTGTTTATTTTTCTCATAATAAATGATACACATAAATACTAAATAGCAGTTTCAAAGTTATATTCACTAATGTACGTCACTACGCAAGCTTCACATAAATCTAATTCATCACTTTTGAAACGTCAAATATAACGCTAGTCATCGGTTGTGGTACACACTATCTATTTGCTTCAAATGTTTTATGTCAAAAACAAAAGAAAATCATGAATCTTCACAAAGGGGGAATGCATTCCTTTTGTAGATGACTCACAAGTTATTAAAGATTATCAAAGCTTAATATATCAATGTCTAGTATACTATTTTGTATTACAAACCTAGCTTTCCTTCCTGCTTTTTGTGCGGCTTCAATTTCTGCCTTCTGAGTTTTCAGTTTGTTTATAGCTGATGGGATTAGTATGAACTTCGATCTCCAATACTTGATACTCTGAATTGAAAGAAAAGTGAAGGTTTATTTATATCATTAAAAGGTTTTTTTGATGTTCTGCTTCTTGGAATTAGATTGTGAACAAGGAAAGATAAGTATAAATATCATTAATTTCAAAATCATATTGTAAATGAAGTGGCATAGATAGAGTTACAAGCGGTCTATGCTGTTCTTTAAAATGTCAAAATTTCCAAAGATTGAAGTTCATTTTTAACTCAAGCCAATTTATATCCACTGGCACTTCAACGATCCCTGATAGCTATTTTTCAAAACAAAGATTTTTCGCTCTCCCTCCAAACAGGACTCCTGACGCGCAGACACTGATATTACAAAACTTCAAGGTTTAAAAAACATGAAATCTGAACATTTTGCTATATCTTACACAAATTATTACTGTGTGTTGTAAAGATTCCCTACATGTCAATTACACCATAGTCGAGCTCAACAAGCCAAGCACTTGTTCAACGTTCATACTATGGTACTATGGACTTCCATTGATTTTACACTATCAGTTTTTTTTATACAGCATATTCATACACTCTGAACAAGGCCTTGCACCAGCGGTCACTGATATGTAAAAAGCTCCTTTCTTTTTGAAAAGGCTGAGATCTTTATGGTTCCGCATTGTCTACCCAATTTATGACACCCTAGGGTTAGGTGGTGAGCATGAGATTTGAACCCAAGAATTTTAATCTGCGTTATCAACTCGAACACTTAAACAACCTGACCATTTGCACCACACTCAATCTATAGAATATCAAAACTTACATCTACAATCTTGAAGTCAGAGTCAGCACCAACACAACAAACACAATTATCTTGATAACTCCAATGATAACTTTCATATTGTTCGTGAGAAAATTTAACTCTTGCCATTCTGTATTTATCTCTGCTGACTGCCCATAGTAGATATTTATACTCAATTGTTAAAGTCGAAAACAAGTGCCTGAAAAAAATGTTGTTTGAAGCTGTAGCAATAAAGTTGAGAAAAATTGCATGCAAGACTCATTTGATTGTCTGTTTTGAATGCTTAGTAACTTAATGCCTATTTTAGTTTCTTACAGGGATTTCAACATCGATTTTATTACGATTAGAAGTCTCAAATACTGACTGAAAAATTCAAAATTTTCACCCCGAGTGGGGCACTTTGGCATCGACTCCAATATCTTTAAGATATGCCGAACTCTAGACTTCAGAACACAGTGAATAGTTGTTTTTCACTGAATGTTCGTTTTTGTGCAATCTGACCTTGGTTTATATATCTTTACGGAAATTTCGTTTTCATCTGTAAGCAAAATGACGTGATATTGTCTTCCGTGATTGAGGGTGTAGCGTTGAGGATGTTCAGACAGCACCATAGTATCTGAAAATGTTTGATATTTGTTAGAATATGGATGTTACTATATAGAGGTAGGCAAATTTTTATTGATATTGGAAAAGTCCTTGCCGAAGCTAAGAGTCACAATTTTGTCTCTGAAGTCAGACTTTCAGTCTTCGATTTCATAATTTTTCCTGATTCCGCATCCCTGAACACTGAACATTCATAATGAAGTACAGAAGATTATTATTATTTCCTTTAGATAATATTCAGAATTCAAAAATTTTAGATTAGACAAATTACTTTCCTGATAATATACATTGTAATTATAATGTAAAACAATGTGCTTACCATTATAAACTGGACTTGTAGCACTGTCAACCGAAGTGAATGAAACATCACCTCCCACTGGAGATGGAGACTTTCTGCCACCAAATATTGACGCACTATCATAATGTTTTCTTTTCCCCCAGTGTCCTGATACAACCAGTTGAAATCCCTGACATAGTCTCTGGTTGACAAGCTCAAGGAATATTTCCTTTGTTGCCACAGGTGAGGATGATTGGGCCTGCCACCCTGTACATTGATCAGAGTCAGTGTTGAGTAGACCTTCAGATACTCTGTGAATATATTATTAGATAACTTATAATGATATATGATATAAAAATAGAATTTAGTCGAAGCGATTCTTTTAGAAGTCTAAAATTTCCTCAATTTCTATTTACAAATTAAAAGAGGGAAATAAAAATTCTAAAAAATATTGTGATTTAGTGCTCAAATCATGTCACTAGTTGATAAATAAGGGCACAATTAGCTGGCCCATTTCCCCCTCATTATGCTTTTTATGTTTTAGGATCTGTATGAATCAATGATACATAAAAAGCTAATAATTTTGATGGAACTAGAATCTTAGCTTACGGGACAATATATTGCCATACAGACAACTTTATTCTAGAGTCAGTATGATCCATTACTAATAGTTTAAACAAAAAATAAACAGAAGTTACCCATCATACTGGCTATCTTCATGGTCTGGTATAAGAGTATATGATTGTTCTGTATAGTCAGTATGTAACCTTTGCTTTGATGGAAAATAATCATTTGTGATTGGAAGACAGGCAGGTGAGCGTAACGATTTCCAATCGACAGCTAAAGAGATTATATAGTATATTTAATTATTGATATTTTTCCTATTATAAGATAGGATTCTCATATTTAACTAGTAATTAAAAATGAGAAGGCAAGCGTGTACTATGATAAAAAAAAAGGTGGAAAATTTACTTGATGTCTTCTGAAAATCAGCTCCATTGACTCTTGCCAATACACAAGGTTTGGGGAAAGTATTCGCAGTGTAATCCAAACTGCCGACAGAATATTCACTACTTGAAACACTTCCGACAGTACTTTGTGATAGTTTTGGGACGATCGTTGATCCAGAACTCCTGTTTGAATAAATGAAGGATTTATCCATAGAAGATTATTTCAAGACAAATTGATAATAATTCTGATAGAAATGAACAATTTTAAGAAATAAGACTTCGGGAAGAATCACTCTCCACCACTCCGAACTAAAATGTGAACATGTCTGTCGTTATGAACTCATCAAAACACGTACTGAATTGGAATTAATAAAAAATTTCTGAAAAACTACTTTTTTATCGAAGAAACATAAAAAATGTATTCCAGTAGGAGAGGAAAGTTGATATAATGTATAAACTGTAAACCACTATACGCCAACAAAGGAGTCCAGCAATCCTCTCGCACATACCGTGGGATTAGAATCTGCGAACCCACAAAGGATATTCAGAGTTGCTATGGCAAGTATGCTCGTAATGTTGAGCATGTGCCAATTGTGAACCATGCATCAAATGTCACTTATCTATCGTATATTTACCTCGTTTGGGATTTGATTTCTGCATCTGAGCTATATTCATCGTTATATTGATCAGAAGACTCACTCAGACGTGAAGTACGGATCAATTCGCCATCCTGTTGTGGAAGATGCACTACTTCCTTGACCTTGTGACCCTTGGGGTAAGTATGCACCCAACGACGTCGATTTGATGTAAGTGGGGTTAAAGTACTTGACATTGCCACAAAAGGGTTAATAAGTGCACGACGAGGGGCTTGTTTCTTCTTGTGAGCTCGAGTTTGTAGAGAGTGAGCACTTCCAACTTTTAACTCAGAGGAAACATCATCCTGTGATGTGAATGATTATAGATAATGACACATACATTGATAGTTAAATAATGGTTAATAACAGAATATCACAATATTTCAAAATCGTTGATTGACTCAATCGAATATTAGATTCGTTTGGATGTTCCTGACTGTTAGAAACCATCTACTAACAAGAGCAAAATTGAAACCATACAGTATACACAAAATGTATGCATACAATCACAAAAATTATGTCATGAACATAAATATTTATTATATATCAACTGGTACCTCTTTAATTGCGAGATATTTCTCTAAATTTCGATCTGGTCCTATTGAACTTGCGATTCCAGCTAATGGTTGTTTTCGAACTCTTGTTATTCCGAGTACACTTGGAATGTGCAATGGTGTTGTCTGCCTTGATAATGAACGTGAATGAAATTGGTGGTCATCAGGAGAACCGGACTGAAAATAAAATAAATTTTTTTTTTTTGTAATACAGACTTACATATTCACTACTAACAGGTCTGTAGTAATAAGTCACTATTCCTGGAAAAACCAGAAATTTCCTGTTTTGGACAGTTTACCCGATTTATTACACCCATAGTGAGTTATGATACAGAGGTATTTACTCTGCTATGCCAACAGTTTGGCCCAACTACCGCACTAGCTTGTCCATGAGATTTTTTTGGGACTAGTTTTCTAAGAAAAATGTGGTAATGACTCAGAAACAGGCTGATTATGGTATACAGAGACCATGTTTCAAACTAAGAAAAATTCAACCCGTTAAATGCCACACATCCTGAATAGGAGCTTACATGTTGTTTCCATCCGTCACTTATTGTTCTGACTCGAGATCCAACTGACTTCTTATTGAAATCGGTCGAGCTTGATCGACGAACATAACTAGGATGAAACGAACTTGATATATTTTGCATCATACTTGAATTACAAACTGAATGTGGAAGACTGAAAACCTGAAAAAGAAGGTAACGAAAACAAACCATATTACCTATTTTACACATAAAAATTCTTTGCTGCGTGGATCAACATGGATAGGGATGTAACGTTTTGAATAGAATATGTGAGAACAATCACATTAAAAATGGATATATAGGGAGATTTTTCAATAACATTTATTATTCAAAAATGACTAATACAACAAATACATACTTCTTCATCAAATTCTTATAAAACAAATACAAACTTCTTCATCAAATTCTTCAAAATTATGAGCCAGTAGCGAAGGCAGTTCTGTTTGTTTGTCAGAAAAACGACTTTGCAACGATTGTTTTCTTTTCGTTTTCAATTTTCTTTGTGGAAAAAGAATACGTGGAACATACTTGATTCCAGTTGATCCTAAAAGGAACAAGAACTACCTAAAAAGAGTACGGAAAAATGTAGCTGAAAATATGGCAAACCGCCTCTCTTTCGGTATCAGTCCATGTAGGGTATGGCTATTGGGAATAGTTAAACAAACCAGTTATTTGTTTCAGATGCATAAACTTGATGGTGGAGGAAGCCGTAACTGACGTCTTGGTACGACGATATGATACTCAATCTCTTACCTTTATCTAAGAATGGATTCGATGAATAGAAACTATGACTTATCCAGTGTGGAATATTGAAATCATGTAGTAACGGTTGTTTCGCTTTGTTCCTAAAAAATAAACTCATTAATAAAAGACCTTGACTCGTTAGGACTCTAACTAACTGTTTTACATACAATGCCCATCTTGAGCTGATTTGGACTGGGCAGGTACAATATAACAATAAGAGAATATTATATTTCGTATTCGAGGCAATTCATGATTCTTGTTTAACCCCTCGAGTACCAGTATCCACCAGACTCAAGTCTATCTCAAGACATCTCTCTCAAAGAGGTACTTGACACTAGCAAATATTTTGAATCTTTCTTTCAGTTGCTTATGTCCTTTACAGTGCTTTACTTTTCATTGCGATATTAGGATATCATTCAATTTTTTTGAGCAATAATTTTAAATAGGCCATGTTGATGTGGTAGTAAGTGTTGTCGATGTTTCTTAAGTTTAGTAGGAAAAAGTTGCTCAGGAATTCTTCTTTGACAATACAGAGTACGCTGTATATCCCACCTGTTTAGTTGATGAAATTTGAACAATGGTACTGCATGTAATGGTTGCTGTCCTAAGCATACAAGATCACTGCCGATACCATTGTCTATCATTCTTTCTTTAGTTAGAACAGTCAGATCTCGATCGACATCAAAAACACCAACTCCTGAAAAACAAAACACTTGCTTGTCCAATGCCTTATTCATGGAAAGCATGAATCGAAACATGAAAAATTATTACCCGGCGTTATGCATAGTACTAGTTGTCCAGTTCTGTCAAAATTTCGATCAATGTAATGTTTTTCAAAAACATTTAGTGACATATTAATAGCCTCAAGAAAATTTCCTTCACTTGCGACAGAATTGTGTCCAGGTGGACAATTAGGAATGGTTATCATATCCTTATAATCTGTGGAAAATAAAGTTGAATAAATGAAAAGCAGGTATTATTGTTTCTAGCTATTTCAAGTTTCGGGTAATCTTGGGAGAATTAGGGGCAAGTCAACGAGGGCTGTAGAGTGGGTGAAAATTTACGATCGACTCAGACTATCGACTGATATAAATCTTACAATTGACTCCCACTCCCAAAAACTTCAACCCTAGTTCCAAAATCCCCGAAATTTTTTTTTGACAAAAAACATTGACGTATGTCTCCTTTATTTGACTGTTAATAACACTAAGTAAATATGTAAGCAACTCTCCGACTACAGACATTTCAAATTTCAACCTAGACTGAAAAATGACAAATTTCGACTGTGCCGTCCTAGTGTCAACACAGGAATGGACAAAACCGAACACTCTGCTATAATAATTAGTTTTTATATTTAATAACAATACAATAATTCAAATAATATTTTTTATTATGGAATGTATTCTAAACAGTACACAGTACAAGTACACAGAAGAAGTTGATGTATAATCAAGTTAAGATCTTTGAATGCAGGAAAGACCAAAATGATTTGCTTTGTTCTTTATTTTAATAATTGTAAAAGATTTTTGGTCATAACATGAAATTTCAATTGTGTAAAGATGATAATTTTTCAAAATTTGAAAGCACAAATAAGATTACCATTGAAAATTTTCTTCAATCGAAAAAGTAATGGAGTACAATCTTCATTTCGTTCATGATGTGCGACACAATTATAGAAATCAATATAAAAATCTCCTTTGTAATTTTTTTGTACAATATCTCGAACTTCTTCTGGAAATTGCTCAATTTTTGAAGCATTATAGAATGTCCTGTAATAAATTCTTTATTGAATCATAATTTAAACTTACTGAATGAAATAAATATTAATTGTTGAGAATTTCTTTTGGTTTTAAATAAGGTCCTTTTATTCAATAAATTTCGAGCTCTGTACATTCCATGTTTACAGAGTTGTAGTACAGAGTTATCAAAAATCTTGAATTTCAAAATTGCATGTTTTATATTGAAATGGTCATAGTCGATGTTCAAAAAAAAATAATTTTATAATTACTAGATACTTGAATATAAATTGCTTTAAAAAAAGACAAATAAAATATAAGCTACCTCGAAAATAACACAAGTGTAAATTCATGATAACATTTATCTCTCCACTTGGTAAAAAGATCCTGAAAACAAAATATTATTCATGAAAGACGGCAAAGAAAAGATTTATGGGAATTATGAAATTGAGATTCAAAATACTATTTTTGCATAAAATATTTTACAATGGGTGAAGGACATGAAACGATTCACAAACTTATATATTGTAATGAATAAACTAGTGACCAACAGCAATGCGAATTGTAAGAAAAATCTACTGAAAAACACTTTAAAAATATCTTACTTTTAAAAATCCATTAACTGCTCTTTCAAATTGCAATTGTCCGTAAGCATCGAAATCCCACATTTCTGAACTCATTTGAAGAAAAATATAAACAAGAGCTGATGCAGATCGCAAAACTATTCTAGTATTGTCCGTCACAAGACCACATTTCACTTTATTACTATCAATCCAAAGTTCATTCACCTGCAGAGTGTAAAATGTGAAAAATTGAATGCTTGAAAATGCTTTATAGACACCATAAAATTAAATTAATACAATTTTTTAACGGCCAGGCCCGTACTGGTCATGGATGGTATGGGCTATTTTGCAAAACAGAAAGTTCGCCATCCATTGAAAACGTCTTATTTTTAACAAGTGGTTTAATGCGGCGACTGTTTCAGAAGCCATTGCATGGGAGGTCTGGATTTAGATTTTGAAACACCTCCCCAATATGTATTTCCTGTTATTCTGATTTTAAAGTACTGCAGCTACCTATGAAATCAATTTGAACGTATATCCTGGCATATAACGCGAGTTTAAAACTAAAAAAAAAGTTGCCAAACTAAGGGGTTGGCTTATACGCAAAACTCTCGATCGCACTAAAACTTCGGCTTATACTCGCAACTCTGATCGCACTCAAACAAAATGACATTATGATAACTTAATTCCAACAGCTACAACTCGAACCACAGCAAGTTCTCACGATAAGTGCTTACGATTTGTAGCGTCGACTTACATGCGAGGATATGCAGTATGAAATACAATGATGTATGAATATACACGTTGAAATACATATATATTCCACAAAATATTTCAATATTACCTGTGCTCGAATGTCACAGTACTCCACTTTCTCATTAATGCAAGTGCATGACCCAACTAAATGGCGTTTTAATCTCCACATGTCACTCCTACTGATGTACTGGTCCTTGAAGGTAACTTCAAGTAAATCCAGGCTGATATCCTGTGTAAAAAATATTGAACTTGGTCAAGCATGATCCATTGATAAAGCATGCCTCGTCGGCATGCTTTAATAATGGATCATGTTTGAATATTTATAGTATACCATGGGATCGACTTTGAGAACGTAAACGCTCTGAAATGCATGAAGATTGAATTGATTTGCGATTGTGTGTTCGATGCTGATTGTGTCTTTCTGTAACTCTGTTTCCCTTTTTAATGATTTGACCTAAAAAAGTAAAGTTTCATTAGTACATTTTTCGATTAATTTTTGGCTTACAGAATACTGCCATCAATAGAAAATGTTTTCGAATGAAATACATTCTAAATTGTGCAATATTCAAAAGAAAACATCCTATTATGTGCACAAATATCAGATTGTTTGGGGCAGAATTTATACTTTATAAGTAACCCAATCAAACATATGTTCTATAAATGTCCATGCATATAAAACTGAAAAACTGGTTTACTATTCCAATACCCGACATGGACAGGTAAACAAACCAGAGGTCATAGTTCACCACATGATTGGATAAGCCTTAGATAATTTTAGTTGTTGGCATCATAAATTGAAGATATTCGGTTCAAAGTCCATGCTGACCCAGATGGGGATTGAGAGATTTACATATTTATCCTGGGGGACAGACCAGCCCATAAGACGGCCTAATCATTTGGTGAACCATGGCCTGTTGACCAGTTACCAGTCCATGTTAGTATGGGATTATTTGGCCAGTTATCTGTTTTAGTTGTATGAACTTGATGGCGGAGGAAGCCGTAACTGACCAGCGGTTACATGAACCGCCCTACGGCGACGAGTCCAGCAATCATATCGTACATATTCATCCCCGCAGGATTCGACCCACACAGTGTAATCAGAGATTTGGTGAGCAGCATATTCCTAATGCTTAGCACGATGCGCCACACAGCCGAGCAAATAAAAAAATTAATCTAGTAAACTAGGTAGGGAATGCAGAACCAGAAAATTCTATTCCATCCAGAAATAATTCAACAAGCTCCTATTATATCAGTAGATACTTGTATACAACCTTGTTCTGTTGTTTGGAGATCGAAGTAAAGGTGTAAAACGCATCATAAAATACCTACTTTCATAAAAAGATGATTGGAAGTATCTCCATCACAGTTATGTATTTTAAGAATGTCATCTTTCTTAACTCCTGGAAAATCTTTAGCGTTGATCACCAGTGATTCCTCTGCAAAAAAAAAATCCAGCTTATAATTACTGCCAGATAAAAAATTTCCAACCAACTATTATCACCAGACTGTAGTAACTTACCGCTGAAATTCGATTGATGTATTTTTAACTTGTATTTCTTCATGATCCCAGACTCTGCCATTTTAGTATAATCACTAAGTCAATCATGAAAACATTAAAGAAATTGTTTATTAGATGTAGTAACTGTAAGTAAGTTATTTTGATCACACTATCTTCTTATCTTTCGGTCATCAACTAACACTGTAAAAACAGAATAAATTGAAACAGCAATACTAATAGGAGTAATAGAAAAACAACATCATATCAATAAAATAGACGGAATTATGAAGAAAGGATATGAATTTGAATCTAAAGACATGAGGCATCCGTAGTTTACCTCAAAAGCAGGAACAATCACAACAAAACACTAGAATCAAAATAAAAATTTGCCTAGAATTGATTTCAGTAATTCACATGCAAAAAAGTAATGGAGTATGGCACATTCAATCACAATTCTGTAATCCATAGAGACAAACTATCTTCGAAATATAGCCCAGTATCCCACACATCACAGCATTACGTGATTGATCAAAGGTTAGTACTAAGTTTATCAATGCTACAGTACAATATCTCTGGTACAGTCTCCTGGTACTGCAGTAGGTTGGTAGCCTGGTCTGACAGTGCTAGGACAACCTGACCACGGAAATTGATATCAATCAATCAATCATTTTATTTCGGCTCTCTGACTAAAACAGAACAATACAAAAAAGTAAACAGACAACAAATACAGAAGGCGAGCATAACTTGAAATAAAGTTAAAAAAACCTACAAGTAAGTGCCCACCCACCAAAAAATAAAATAAGAATAATACGAGTATACAAAAAAATATGGACACAATTCAAAATCGGGCAGTGCTTATAACTCAATTTACAATAATAAAAGCCAAATAATTGCTTGAATCAGTGGATAATTTACATGGAGTAAAATTAGTGTTGTGCTTGTAATAAGACAGCAAAATTCAGGTAGATAAAATTAAATGTAATAGAATCCCAACGACCTCCCCCGTCTCTGATTGATATAAACTTAATGTTTCAAATATTCGTATACGATTATGGTAGCTGAGAAATCACCAGGATTAGCCTTGCAGTAAATATATATAAATATAGCTGATCTCGAATGCTGTAAATTTTGGGTCTGAGATTCCTATATAGCATAGAAATATACAAGTCAAAATCTATGGGAGACATCGCTTGCTGTCAGAAATGCAAAAAATTACCGAAAACCTATCAAATGTGCAAGACAGATAAATAAATACATGGTTGAAAAGTAGCATGAAGTTTTGAATAGTAGGAACTGGGAATAAAAATAGTGGGAAAATAGCTTGAAATAGAGGCCGTGGTTCGCCACATGGTTAAGCCGTCCTATCGGCTTTCCTCTCCCCCAGGATAAATATGTAAATCCTAGTCCTAATAATAGCGGTGAATACAAATATCTAACAATGCGTGCCAATGTTAGAAGAAAATAGTGACTAGTAACACAGGAAAAAACAAAAAAAGCTATATACATTGGAACTATTAGTATTTACCAAAACAATATCCAAACACTGTCAATATTGGCAACATGGAGGTGTAAAATCATTTATTAAAACAGTAAAAGCAATCTCAATTACACACTCCAGCACTCACACAAAGAAATACCATGAGCAAAAGTGAAACATGTTACAGTAGGAAAGTCAAATTATGCTGGTGTCTTAGGTGGTACATACCCATTTATTGGCGTCAGAAGAGGAAAAAATAGATATTGCCAAAATAATATCCACAGAGTAAGGTTGCAGGAGCTCATAAAAAAATACAAAATGGATAATTTTGCCATTGAAATAAGATGAACAATTCAAGGCATATTTATCAAAAGTGGCACAATACAAACAACCATGTTAAACAGAAAGCACACTTGCAATTGGAAAATTTGTGGGTGTCTTTAAAATTTCCATCCCCTGCCACCAATGCCCAGCATACTATACTATTCATAGTGAAACCTCTTTAGTCCTTACGGTAACTTTGTTATAAAGTGAACAGGACATCCTGAGATATGGTGAAGTAATTATCTACAGATCTAGATTAGTTACAAAATGATACGATAGTGCGCAATCCTCAACAATATCTGAATATTAGCAAGCGTATTTTCTGGGGCACAAGTATTATCGAATATCTACTCCAGCCCAAGCCAAGGGAATACCCGCCCCGTTGCAAATCTGCAGCATTGCATCCTTGAAGAGAAATATCAATACTCTCCAGCACCATATAGCGGTGAAAGTTTATAGCACTGCTACTGCATATCCAAGATGGGAGGAAATATGATGAGGCGATGAATACTTTCCCGGCCCTTAACCCCAGAGAATTTCTCCCTATATTTTATTACAGCGAAATTTTTAATACTTATTTTGAAAGTATTTTGGAAAATAGGCGTATACAAACTTGTTCGCGTGTCCAAAAAAATTTATGTTAAACATTAAACCACATGTCTCTTACAGGAACTGATAGCTAATTTTGAGCCAAGCGACTGCATAAATTGCCATTGTTACATCATCGTAGACTTAATGTTTTGCTGTAATTAAAAAGGATTCGATGCTCGGGGAAACATCCAAAAGGCTCAGCCATTATATAATGGCTCTGATCATATTGTATATTGCGTCCGTTTACCAGTCGTTGTCGGGCATAGAATTAGCTAGGGTTAGCTATCACGGGTTCCTAGTTTATTTAAAATTACATCATGTACTTTTTTTTTTTTAACTATTTTTGTCATGTTAAGGAAATATAAAGTAAATTAGGACTGTATATATATATATGCAATGATTTTAGTATACAAGCGTTTCCTATAGATGCCTGTCAAAGCATGTCAAATTTACATGGCAGAAAAATATTTGCAAATTTGCGCCTAGATGTTTGCAAAGCAACTAAAAGTACAAACTGACATTGAATTTTTTATATCACTGCCTGTTTCATTGTGATCGTTTGTTACTCCAAAGAATAATATTCATTAATGAATGCGTTAGTGAAACCAGCGTGATTCCAGGAAGTATTTCATGGGCTATTATAAACATTTAATGAAGCTAATCGTGTCTAATTAGCTTATGCATCCTAATTCCGCATTAAAACAAAATAAAACTTGTCGCGTGACAGAATAGTGTAACAAAAATAATCTTGTTTGGTTTATAAAGAACAATGTTTTGTATTCCACACACAAATTATGTTAGTTGGAGAAGCTGTGAACATAGGCTAGGTATGCCAATTTCTAGTCAAATAGCAGAGCGTACAAATAAATATTTGCAAAGTGCTAGATCATCGAAATCAGTCGACAACGACACAGAGGAGATTGCTGACAATAAACGGTTTGCTTCCGCGACTTGTTCGTCATTCGGGCAGGAATCCTGGTTGGACGAACCAAACGGGGAGAGTAACGCCTTTGTTTCGCCAAAAGGTGAAATGCTGGAAGTTCAAGAACAGAAAGCAATCGAAACTCGCACTGTCAAAGTCGGTAAACGTGTTTTTGAAGTTAACGTTCCGCAACAACCGACTGTGGTAGTTACCTCACCAGACCAACATGAAAATGGACCAGGAAATTATCCTAGTGCTCCATCATACCAGAATCTAAATGAAGATATTCCTAGCACAAGAGCTTTGCTTCCTGTCCCAGAAGAGCCAATTGCGAGAAGAGTTCGGCGAAGAAAACAAAGAAGAAATATTCGTGCTCCGAGCTCAATTATATCTTTGCCCATGTCTTCGATCACCGCGTTTTCTGGGTTTACGTCCGTTTCAACCACGTCTTCCATTAGGCCGAAAAGAAGCAAAATGAGCTTGTTTTTGAATAGCTTTATAATGTTTGGAAGAGAATTTTGTTATGCCATTGAAGCGAGTCTCACAACCCCTATTCTGCTAAGTATTGGACTTCCAATAAACCTGTACAGTCTTGTGTGGGTAATAAGTCCTATTCTGGGATTTGTTCTTCAGCCAATTATTGGAAGCTTCAGCGATAAGTGAGTATGGATTTTACATTGTTATGTAATTTGTTATTATATATATATATATATAATCGACAAAATAGCACGTTCAATTAGTTAATTAAAACAGAATGCCAATTTCACCTACTCCCTTATTGTTTGTAGAGAATACTATATATCGCCTAAATCAAAAATTTGTAACATTACCCAAAGGTAAACACACTTGATACGATTGTACTCATTTTCAGGTGCAAGACGCGATGGGGACGCAGAAGACCATTCATTTTGATTCTTGCAGTTTTGCTTTTGTTCGGGATGACCTTCTTCTTGAACGGAGAACAATTTGTGGAGCTAGTTGTCGGAAACCCAAATGATGTCGGAAGTCAGAATACGAACGAAAGGTATGGCACTGGATTATTGTTTTCTATTACTTTTTCAGAGTAATTTTTAGTAAAAATTATTTCGTTTCTAATCTATTCAATTTCTTGTTATTTTTAGATCAAACGTGCTCGCAACCATACTGGTAACGATCGCAGGTGTTGTTGTTTTTGATTTTAGCGCTGATTTTATCGAAGGCCCGATTCGCGCTTACGTCATGGATGTATGTGATGAAGATGACGTCAAAATCGGATTATTTTATCAAGCTGTGTTTACGGGTAAAGTCAATCTTTAGATGAATTTCATCACGGGACATTTTTTTTTTATCTCAAGTTCAAATTTAATAAACTGAGCCGATCTTTGTTTCAGGAATGGGCGGTGCTCTCGGATATGCAAGCGGTGGAGTGTCATGGGTTCGGAATCTTGGTTTTGGTACATATTTTCCATCAGATAGACAAGTCGTTTACGTTTTTGCAGCCCTCATTTTTATCATCTGTGTAGCGATGAATCTGACTAGCATTCCAGAGAAAAATCGGGTAAGACCATATTGCCGTTCTGTTAAAGTCAAGAACAGTAATAAAGAGAAATAAAATTAGTTTTTCATCGGTAAACTTAAAAGTAAGTTGACTTTTTTTCATTCAAATTTTTCACATATAGTTGAAAGATACCAAAATAAAGAAGAAGACAATTTTTTCTAAAAAACGCCGCGGCGGAAAGGATGTACGATCGAGAAAACGACGATTCCCTGAAAGAGAACAAAAGTACATGGTAATTGAAGAGGAAAATCCAAGAAAATTTGATGCAAATAACAACTTGAAAAGATCGTCAAAAGACACCAAATCTGCCATAGATCATGACGTCATTACTACCCCACATACTTCAAACATGATATCATCACGCCATATGAAATACAAAATGAAGAGTAAGCAGAGAAAAGGTCGACGAAAATCTAAGAAAACAGATAATGGCTTGTATGGAAGCTTCGAACGCCCGGACGCGGAACAGATCCATGACTACTTGACGCAATCCGGTTATCAAAATCAATATCAAAGTCTTCCAAGAGACTTTAGCGAAGAACAAAACACATACCCAGCCATGAAGTACAACACGCATAATGGAAAGGATGGTGTTCCATTAGACAACTATGGTGAAAAAATAAAGGGAGTTGCAGATTTAAAAGGAATGGCATCGTGGGCAAACGAATCTGCTGCGCTTCCAAGAAGTGGTACAAGGAAGCAACAAGAAAATCGACGCGCCTTGCCTCATCCGCCAACTGCACCTTACTATTACAATAATAACGGAGTTAATGGAAAAATGATAAACGTCCCGTCAGGTAGGATCCGTTTCGTTTCACTCAACTATCTAAAATGTTATTTAAGGGAAAGGGTGTAATACCGTCAACAAGGTCCAGTTAATACGCGTCCAACGCTATACTATAGATTGGTATCAATGATTTTTTGTATTTCCAGATTCTGATTCCTCTTCGGGAAGTTCCTTCTCCAACGATTATTCTCCAGTACGTAAAAGCGCAAATAAGCGTGAAAAATCAAGAACTTACACAGCAAAAAGAACAGAAAAATCGAGTGATATTGTAAATTACGAAGACTTTTCTGACCCCTACCGACCCCTGCCACACGAGGCGCCACGCAAGTATCAGAAAAAGTCAAACCGTACAAGGAAGACGAGAATCGCAGAAATCAGGGACGACTTGGACCAGGACGAAGACTTGGAATCTCCTTTATTACGAAGTGATTTCCATGGTGAAGACGTGCCTGAAGAACGCGTGCATGGTGCCAAAAAAATTTGGAAATCAATTGTCGGAATGCCTAAGGAAATTAAGTAATTATCCAATTCTTCCAATTTCAACAGCTTATTATAATTTGCCTGAATATAATAATTTTATGAAATTTCAAAAATCATCTTACAAAATCAGCCGTGGTCCAAAAGCAAGAAATATATTCTACGCCTCTCATATATTTATTTCACTGTACCCCGCTGTATTGTATAATCAAAATAGCCTATTTTTCAACAAATGTTACATTTTTAGGAGTCTTTGTATCGCACATTTATTCGGATGGATGGCATTCTTGTGCGTTGTTCTGTTTTTCACTGATTTCGTGGGCCAAGAAGTGTATGGAGGCGATCCACTAGCACCTATTGGAACCGAACGAGGAGATGCATACAAATTAGGAGTTGAAATGGGAAGCTGGGGAATGACAATTAATGCAGTAGCATCTTGCTTCTACTGCTGTAAGTAGAATAAAGTATTTGAGTATTTAATGTAATTTCTATTCATCAGGTGCATATTAATATTGGGTACCAGTTCTTCCAGATCACAAATGCTGATCCGTTCTGAATCAGGGCTATTTACTAGAGAACTGAAAGCATATCAAATTTGATTTCACTTAGTGCTTATTTTCCAATCACTCGACTTTGTGAGGCTATGTTATAATTCAGTATTTGCAAAATTACTTTACTCAATAAAGGCTAGTCTTCTTAAAAAATACTTTGCAGCTAATAGTTATTAACATAGAACAGACTTGATTAATAATATTTCCTTCATTTCAGTTCTTCTTAAGCCGATGATTAAGAGATTTGGAGCCCGGCCTATCTACATGCTGGGATATTTTGCTTTCGCTGTGGGCGCGCTGGGAATGGCAATTTATCCGAATGTATATTGTGTCCTGATATTATCGTCGTTGATTGGAGTGATGTCCGCAACATTATATACTTTACCATACTTCCTGGTGGCACAATATCATGAAGGGTACAAGGTTAGATACTATTCTACTAACTTTTGTTAAAATTCTAATTACAAATTTTAACTCAATTTTTGACTCAAAGTATGAAGAAGTTGTCTTGGGTGCAGCACAACACGGTTGATTTTAAAACATATGAGCAACATGATATCACTAAATTTTTTTTTTTTTCAGTGGCATTTCATTAAAATAATCGTTTTTTTATTTTCTCAGAAATTCAAAGGTACTGCTCAAGAACGGGGTGTTGGCACTGACTGCGCTCTTGTGACGTGTATGATACAATTGGCCCAAATAATCGTGGGACTGGGTATTGGAGCTCTGGTCGTTTGGCTCGACACTGTTACAGTTACTGTTGTAGCAGGGTCAATAAGTGGGTTCATGGGTACATTGTGGGTTACTTGGTGGGTCACATACTAAAGTTTTTGCTCGTTACGGCATCTCGTATTAGACATATTTTATCCACATATAACACATCCTTCAAGAATACCGATCTCACCTACACACTCAAAAGGACTTATGATCAGTTTATTTATTATGTTCTAATTTCAATTGATCCTTTCACCCCTTCTATTTTATGTCCTTAACAAAAGTATTGATGAATAACACTAATATGTTTGTACCATATTGTGTTGTTTTATACTGATATTATTTAAGTAAAGTTATGTTTATATGCAAACTATGTTTTGTCTTTTTATCCTGCTTGTGACTTTTAAGTGTACAGTTCCTTGTGTTTTGCAAAATGTGTCACTATAAAAAAGTACACTTCCGTCCCGATAAAATATACCGAATTTATAAAGCGCATTATTAACAGTGCACAGATGTGACGGATCACATTAAGCCGAGGTATAGTCTTCTGCGCTCTGGAGAGTCTCTTGATTGTCGTTTCTGAGTTGATGAAAATATAAAATTAAAAGTATCAGGAATGATTAAATTTGTAACGAGAATATCGGTTGGAAACCGAAGACTTATCGATCGATAGTTAGGGGATCCCCCAAAACAGAAACTGCAGTTTCGATTCATCCGCTCTTGTAACTTGCGCACTGCGCATCGCACACACACACTCGGCGGGTTTCAAAATTCTCTCGCTTTACAAAAATCTAGATCACTATATCAATAATTGATTGATAACTCGCTAATTATACGACATAATTCGCCCAAAATCAATAGGATTCTGGTCCGAGATAAGATGAATGCACATGCAAAATCTGGAGCAGATTCAATCCCGCTTTCGTGAGATATCGCGTGCATCTAACACACACACACACACACACACACACAGACAGACATACAAATACCTATCAATATACTTACCGATCTTAAGATCGATAAGTAATAAGCGTTGAACACTGTGGAGTGATTGTCAATATATATTTCCGTGATCTTCCTGTGGCTACTGAAAGAGTTTTAAAATTATAGTATTCCGCTCATTCCACACGAAAAATGTCTTTCATGAGCTTGAGGCAGCGGCAACAATTAACTACGTTTTGTTCAAAAATAATTAATATGTTTCTAATGTGAGTGTTTCACATAAGAAAAATTAATATTACAGCAATTTATTTACCTTTTGAGCGTGTATCATTTGATTATTAAACAAAAAGAAAGCGATGCTCAAATATATGGGCACGGAGTATTAGGTATGCAATACGTCATAGTAGCTTACCGGTAAAAATTCGCAGCAGATCTGAACTTACGCGAAAGCGGAACCGCAACACGGAACGCAATTTTAAAAGCTCGCACAAAAGAACGAATCTCACAGAGATCACAGAATTATTTGATATAAATGAAAGTAATAGCCTTCTAGCGAAACATACAATCTTTAACCACTTAAAATTTCAAAGCAATTGTTCAGTAATTGAAGAGAAAAGCGAATTTTTTCGTAACATTAGGAAGAAAAATTCTAACAACAAAAACAACAACATAATAACAAAACAATTCATAAGTCCACTCCGTGTTCAACAAGGAATACAACAACAACAAAATAACAAAACGATTCATAGGTCTACTTCGTGTACAAAAATAGTAGTGAATGGTAATCTTGAAATGATACAGGATAAAAAAATATAGGATTGAGTAAAAAAAATTATTTTGTCTTAAATTTTTTTTGTAATTGCTATATTCGGCATTCACAAAATTGACTTTATTATGGTATTTATTTTTGCTACTATTGCTCATTTGTTATTGCTTTGACCCGGAGACAAATAGTGATGAATCAATATAAATTGGACAATATTTTCAACAATTGACAAGGAAAAGTTTTCTCAATCAATCAAAAATTAATAAGCACGGGTCGACAAGCGTTTTTCAAAGCATATGCGCGACCCTGTTTAACTCTAAATACTATAAAAATATACGAATGTTCGGTATGAAAATCATTCATGTTATGGTATATCTTCCGTAACTCTATACCACAATGGTGAACAAATTACCATCAGTCAATGCTTATGAAATCTACAATGACACGGAATAGCAGTGACTTGAAGTTTGAAATTTGCTAGGACTCGGCACTGACAGTCGTATGGCCGGTGACTCCGGGGGTAAAAGACTTGTACCAAGTGATGGGATTGAAAATCTGAGAATAGGTTCTCTTTTGTATCGAACTCACTAACAACAAGTTCTCTGTATCTATCCATTTCGCGATCCAAATTACATAGATCTAACACAAATGCTTTTGAAATGCAATACATAAAGCTAGTGGTCAGTATGTGTGGTGCACATTGAGGTTATATACACCTCAATGGTGGTGCACGTTATCCATTTGCTGCAGTCGTAAGACGTCATAAATGAACGGGTTTTCTGGTTATCACGAATCACCACATTCCAAAAATAGGTTCGCGCGAACCGCCCCCACTGCTTGTACCCAACACCGACTGAGCTTGAATAGCACGTTGTGGCATTTTGGTATAGTACACCGGTGAGAGTATTTGCTGATTATTAATGGTTGTTAACAAGTTTAAATGTGAAGGTACCTTCGATGGCTAGGACATGTCATTCTACTAAATTCTGATAATTTGTCGTCCCGACTCTCTTTGAACAGATATGTATATACCAATATGTTGAAATAAGAATTTATTCAATCAAAAAACAATATAATTTAAAACTAATAAAACAAAACATCAAGAGTAAATATCTGACGTTATGACCTGCTTAGTATACGAGGATATTCTTTTCGTTAACAAAAAAAATGTTAAAACAACGCGAGTACAAGAAAGTCATTGGAACGGAGGAATCTCTTACGATTGTTGCATAGAAATGTAACATATACCTACATAATCCATTCGTGGAATAGGTGTTTAACACAGCGCTCGGAAGCCAGTCTATCTTTGACTTTGCTGAGCGTATTAGGTTGAAAATGCCACAAAAATGATATGACATTTACATGGGACAAAATGGTTTCTTCGTAGATTTACAAAAAAAGTCTGAGATAACGGTTAAAAAATGTATAATGTCTAAACATTTGAAATGAAAAAAAAAACTGCTCCTTCTGCAGAATTTGGCAAAGTCTGTCGTCGTGATCTTTTCTTTTAAAACAATGTCGACAATATTTTTAGTCATTTTGAATAATTTTTTGCTTTTTAAATTTTCAAACTCCTGCGCTCTTTTTTATTGGAGAACCGATTTTTCTTTTCGGAACTGATACTCCCGCCTGAACCGCTGGGAATGGATTCTTCGTTTTGTTATGTCCGTTATCAAATTGCTCCCAGTATTTTTCCTCTTGTCTTTCGATTCTGGCCGAAGCTCTCATGCGGTTGCGTTCAATGAGTTCTCGTTGCTCGTATTTAAATTTACATGGCAGCCAACATACATCTGCGACTAATTGCTGAGTGAGTTTTTCGACAAGTTTCGCATACCCATCGTCGATAATTTGTAAATATTTTGGCCCTGACGCCATTTTTTCTAACTGTTTCACATTAACAATATCGGCCTTGTTAATGACCCCCACGACGTAAATCTTTGCTCCGGTGCGTTTCAATGCATCAGCTGGTGGTTTGACGCTATCACTAGCAAGCCCATCAGTGATTACGATAACAATATCGGGAACTCCGGGTCGATTTTCCAGGTACCTTTATACTGTGGTCGAAAACATGTTGCAAGGCTTTTCCAGTTTTAGTACCGCCCCCATTGTACGGTATTTTCCGTATTTTTCGCTTTAGATCTTCCAAATTTCTGTAGTCACCCATATCTATTTCACTCTTCTGTCAACTCTTTTGTTGTATCTTAAAACACCGACGCGCATGTCCCTTTTCCCAATGACAAATCTATCCAACAAAGCAGCAGTAAATTTGATTAATTCCTTCCAACTTGGCTTTCCCACAGAAGACGAAGAATCCAAAACTAAAATGACATCAACTTTGGCGTAGGGTGGGCATGGTAGATCGCAGCAAGGCAAGTCATTGGTCCACTTGGAATCCATGCCGCACGTAATTTCAGAGGGTCCGCCAGCTATCCTAAGACCTCTAGGGCACGTGAATGTACAGGTGTCATTGTAGGCGTAACCAGTACAATCCGACTTTCCGCCGTTCACAATATTCTGTGGTATAACTTCGCATTTGTTTACCACACACATGGTGGGATCTCCACCAGTCCATAAACCAGTTCTGTCGCATTTTGTGTATTTTGCACCATGCATGCTGTAACCAGGATCGCAATTATAGCGACATCTTGAACCGAACTTGTTACCAAGTGTACATTGCAAAATTCCATTATCAGGTTGAACTAAAGCTTCACAAACACGTTCCCGCTCGCACAATTCGCCGTAGAAGCCTGGCCGACAATGACATTCGAAATCGTTAACGAAGTCTTGACATCTTGCGCCATTTACGCACGGATTTGGTTGGCATTCATCTCTTTGCACGCAACGTGTGTTGGAAGTAGTCCACAATCCTGTCGGTTTACACACTACAGTTGATCTTCCAAATCGAATAAAACCAGGGCGGCAATTGATTTGGCATTTTGAAAATGGCCTGTTAAATCTTGTGCATTTAGCATATAAACTGAAAGTGGTTTCGATTGGTGGACATTTTTTAGCTTGGCGACAAACAGGATTTCGGTGACTCCATGTACCACCCGGTAAGCATTCGGTTTCACCAATTCCCAGAAGATAGGTGCCGGAATCGCACGTGAATTTGCATTTCGTTCCAAGGGTATTCTGTCCTTCTGTGCAAGATATTTTGCCGTCACGAGGAGCTTGGAGTTTTTTACACAACACTGCCGGAGTTTGCGTTGTTATTGGTCTATCAGCGACTGGATCGAGCCATCCCAGCAATTTTCCGCATTCAGTACCAGGTCCATCACAAAGGTCGCCCTCACAACAGCATCTGCAAACTTCGGGCGGACTCACGTTTCGTTTTCTTCTGTTAGTTGGATCACATTGATCAGAAAGGTTTTGATCTTCTTGTTTGTCACACGCTGTCACTTGTTTACATTTCATTGTCGCTCTGAAAGATCTTCGCGAAAATGCCGATTTTCCGTAAGATCGAGATCTCAATTCCACGAGGCAACCACGCGACTCGGGCGCGCATTCAACGATTTCCATGCACTCATTGCGCGACGTGGCTTCAATGCATCCATAACAACGTGTCACAGTTCTAACAGGAGCGTGCCTCACTACCTCAGAGTAACGGCCGTCTGTTTTGGCTTTAACAGTGAAAGTGTAATAGTTTTCTGGGATCAAGTTTGTCATAGTGAACGTTCTTTTTGCTCCGCCAAGAATTTTTTCAGCAATGAAGATGCCGTCAGTATCATCTCGGACTGTGACCACAAATTCTTTTTGCGTTCTTTTGACACCCTTGTGTGAGGTCTTGAACATCCATGTCAGGTTTGTAGCGTGGTGGTTCAGCAATACAGTTTCCATAACAGATGGTACCTCTGCAAAAATAATTTGATTTTGTGTTATATAAAAGTCACTTAAATAAAAGAATCACTGACATCAGACAAATTTAAGATAGTAATCTTTGGTTTATAAATTTCATTTTGTAGTCTCCAGGCGCAGCACAGTATTTATCGAAAATGTTGGAAATTATTACATTAAACTGGCCCAACAGCAATTCATCTAACATCATAAATATACTTTATTCTTTTGAGGTCATTTGGTGTCAACTATTTTAATCGATGTATATATATGCATTCAAAAGAAAATGAGTCCAATTGATATAAGTAATTGTAAAGGTTGCTGCAAGCCTGCAATTTACATTCCTGGTATAGTCATAGCGTCGTTATAAATGGACCACACTTAACGTATATGGCCAATTTGGCTATTATTAATCGCGGTTAATTTAATTTTTTAATTTTATGGTATAAAACTAGAAGACTTTCATGTGAGGTAAACAAGCTAATTCCTGATGCCCATTTCGCGTGCCACCGATATTTATGTACAAATAGTAATAGTTTACCTTTCAAAACAGTGAAAAACTCAACGCACTTGACGATGACTAATATTAAAATTTATAGTAGGCTAAAATTAGATTCAAAATATGTAACATTTTTATTGTAAATATTTCTGTAAACGCCTTAACCAGATTGACCTCCTGCGGTTTCGTCTTTATTGGATTAAAAGCACGTAACATAAATAAGTTCCAAAATTTGTGTTTGCGTCATTTGGCGGAAAATATGAGGCTTGAGTGTCATTTTGTATTGGATCGTTTTTACATCGCCAGGAAATATCACAATATGTAACCAAATTTGGCGTCAAAATAAAATGTTTCGTCACGAAACAGACATGAAAAGTAAAATTATAATTTATTTGTCTAACTACGCATGGATATAACTCATGAGCCTAACCTCAAGTATTATATTTTACACTGATCACTGTATTTTTCAAACGAATGGTAATGTCTGGTTTTAATCAATATTTAAAATATATCATCTTCACTTCATACACAGTAATATTTTATAATTAAAGTTATGATTTACTCATTTTTAAAGCTGGTTAAGATAATAAATGAACTGCTCAAATGCAATTCCACTTTACATAATAATCTGCATGATAGCGTGTATTGTCAAAATGCAAAACAAAATAAAGCGTTTCTCGGTTTCAGAGCGGATATTGATTCTGATCCATTAATTAACTTTGATGTATCAAAATGATACTGATTTAAATTATTGCGCTGCAACCAATGGTAATGATAAACGGTAGGTATTGATTGAAGTAGGTATATGTACACGATGATCATAATCTCTCTCTTTATGTATATATTATATATAAACAATATAATATTAGACTATACGCTGAAATGTGCAAACTCTTTGAATTCTATAACAACAGAAATTTGCTGGGATAAACAACATTGACAATGAAATTATAATTCAACTCCAAATTTGGTGATCTTGTCTTGGATTTAGATGTTTGATTATCATTTTTGGACCTTTTTTCATTACTCAGTACAAGTGTTTAATGTAGATACGATGTTAGTTAGTGCATAATGGGAAATTTCAGTAGATCTGTTTAATACTACTTGTCCTACTTTAATACTACTTTTAAAAACAAAATTTAAATATACATTTAGACTTTAGAGCAATTGAACATTTGATGTAAAATGTGTTCTGGGATTTTGTTTGGTTTGAATGATTTATTGTGTATTGTATCGTAAATTTTATCAGGATTCCTACTTGCAAGCAAAAGTAATAATATCGTCTAGTCAACAGACATAAAACTTGGATTTTAAACTAAAGGTGGACGTTTTCTGCGAAAAATATTCGATTTAATCAATCACAGTATCAAATTATTTTTGCCAAGTCTAGACACGAGAGGGTCCAAGTCACGGTATGATGTCATAAAAGCGATAGAAAACTAGTATTATTATTGAATTATGTGTTGTTTATCTTTTTTGTTTGCTTGGTTGATTATGACGGCCTCATTGCCAAGTGAATTTCAGAACAAGTATACAAATTTGGGCAAGTATACAAATTTGCAAAAGAGGAAGCGGAATACTGGTAGAAAAAAGGAATCAATTTATTGACATACACAAGTAATGGATAACTGAAAATTACGTTGTAAAAGAGAGGGTAAAGATATAATATGGCAAGTAAACTATTCTATACACTATACATTTCGAAACTTGGATCTTCGAATACTAATATTGGCTACTTGTAACGTTATAACAAGTACGTTCACTTCTTAGTAAGGTCTTGCGACATTGTTATGATTGAATGCTTACAAAACGCTTTTAAACTTGGTGATAGCTAAAACAACAACAAATTTGTAGTATATATTTAGGTAATGCTAATATTTTAGCTCTACTCACTTGTAAAAACAGTCAGATTGACACGGTCCGATAGGAAGTTGGGATTTCCATCTGGTCCATCTAAACTCGTCCAAACTGATATGAAGTATTCTGTTGATGGTTCTAAATCAGTTAGTCGAATTTTTTGCGGCCTAGTGAAAGGTGGATAGCGTTGTTCATTCTCCTCTGGGTCGCTTGCTTTTCTATATCAAAAGAAAAAGAGTTTGAAAATTTTTTTCCAGTTATAATTATTTTCAATTAAATTACATTTTTCACTTTTTTATTCCACTTCATAAAAGTAGAAATAACAAAGTAGTTAAGTAGCTCATTAAGTATTGTTGATCATTTCTCTCATTGATTACTTAAAATTAACGGAATGTACTTTAACACACATTGCAGAAGAGCAGATAATTACATAAAAGTACCTCTTACCAATGTTGTCATTATTATTCTATTACAGAATTTTACCAACCTGTACGTAACATGAATGCTGTCAAACTTGTCACTTTTGTAAACTTGAGGTTTTCCAACATCAATGACAACTGAATCAGTGTTGTATTCAGTCGCTTCGAGGCCTTGTAAAGGCATCGGGTCTAGAGTTGAAAAGTTTGTTATTAGAAATAGTGCAAGTATTTTCAAAACCTTTGTTGACCCTTGATCTCCAAAAACAGGTAAACTTAGTTCAAGTTTATTATTTTGGACTATGCAATTTGGAAGCATCAAATTTACAACAAATAGAATTTCAGTTATTAGTACTAGATTTCCTACCTACAACACCAAGAAACAAAATACAATATTTTAACATTCTGTAAATTCCTTTCTGCAAAAATTAATGTGACCCAAATGTAGACTGCAATATTTAATAAATTGTTTGTCCAGATTAACTGTAAATCTATGATTTATATAAACAATTATAATTTGGTACAAGGTGGGAACGCCTTATCATTAGACAGTCGAAATATTGTCAACCAGAGATTAAAACTAAAAATAAATATCTAGTTTTTAAATGATTTCTTCAACATCAATGTACAAAAATATCTCCATTACGCCACCCCCGCGTCCGTTTTTACCTAATAGGGTCCATTAACTTAAGGAATTTTAGTAAATTATCATTTATAGGCCTTCAATTATTTTCCATACTTACTCGTTACGAATGTGTCGAATATTCCTTGAGCAAATCGACTGAAGCCGACCTTTTTGATGATGTTAACTCTAAAAATAATACGAGACTTTAAAAAAAAATCATTTACAATTTTACATTTTCGACCTTGTTTTAATCAACATTTAAAAGAAAATTTTTTAAAAAAAAATCCAAGAAAACTTGAATTTAAGGATGTGGTTGTACTAAGATGTAGTTGTAACCTCAATTGCTTCGATTAATTTTGAAATTTGGACTGATAACAGTATTTGATAATGAGAAAGTCTGAATTAGTAATTAATTACAATATAGAATAAATTGGATCATTATCCCGGCTAAGTCCATTGCAAAAATGACAAACATAAAAGTATCATATTATTTTACTTTAAAAACTGACAAAAATTAGCAAAAGACATCATATAAATCTAAACCTTATGCGATATGTTTTATTAATATTCAATTTTTGAATCTAACAGATAATAGTTGTATTTACTACTGATTTCTGGTGAAATACAAACTTCAACAATATAATAAATGTGAACGCCTGTCAGTTTACGGTCCTAAAATAAAAAAAGTTATATTTAAAATGTCCTAATGTTAGATTTGACGCAGATCGTATACGTAAATGATAAAGAAAGTGTGATCATTTGCTTCCGCAATTAACATAATGAAAATTGCCCCAAAATATGATAATTGGAACCGAAATCCTGAAATTGTAGACAATAATGTGTTTTACGCAACAAAAATTTTCGATAAAATCGTTTTTATGCCAGGTGTGAAAATTTCGTGCAAAATTATTTCTGTTTTAGACTGTTTCATAAATAATATAACGAAAATATCAAGTCGTGAAAAAAAAACAAGAAGAACGATATTGAAGCAAAATCATATTTATAAAACTAATGATAAACAATTTTACTTTTATTGAATAAACAAATGAATGAAAAAAATAAAATGAACATAAGATCTAAACTTATAATAAACACGGGCTTTATAAGATTACAAGTCGAAAATATGCAAACAAACAAGCGTCGTAATTAAGTGTTGTTTTCTCAAAATTAAGCTGGTTTAATTGGTATTCTTCCTTTGGCAATTTAAATTTCATTTATGCAATTTTCCACTAAAATATTATGGCCAGTCAAGCATGATATATCAGAAAATTGTTTAATTTAAATGCTATTGATACTTGGTCCAAGCCTGGTGTTTTAGAACTTTCTTTCCTGAGCACTCAAAGTTAATTTTTTGCAACATCCAGTAAATAGCAATTTATCACAAGTTTTAATGACACAGCATACTTTGTGACGTCACAAAAGGTCACGTACGTACATAATTCCAAACATATCGATTTGGAATTTTACAGAAATGAATAAAAAATCAACATTGTAGTGCCACTCGTTAATTCAGTTTTTGTATTTAGAAGAATTCCAATGCCCAGAAGCGATTTATAATTCCGTCACAGCAGAATTGCAGAATTGAGTGATTATGTTGTAAGAATCGGTTGCTATAGTAACCCTGAATCAACGTCAAAGATTATCACTGCAACAAACAAACACACAAAAATACACTTACTTGTATCGGGTTCCTCCAGAGAGTCCAGTTGCGATATAAGCAATTACATTTTCCGGTACGGTATCGTTGAATTTCACGTTAGGTATTTCACTGCCACGTACTGCTGTGATTTCAACTCTCTCTGAAGGAGTGAGAGTGATGTAATAGCTTGCCCCCGGGGTATCCGATGGATCTGAAAGTATTGGAAAATTTAGACAGAATATAGACAGAATTCCTTGTCTAGCCCCATCGATAAATAGCAAACTAGTCTATTTTGTGATTAACTGAAAAATAATGTCCATACTGATTCTCAAATTGAATTATTCCAGTATTTTAATATAACTTACCTGTGAAAGTAATGAGAGCAGAAGTAGGTGACGTCAGAATGGATTCTACGTCAGCTATCGGAGGAAGAAGCATTCTATGTCTGCCAATGCCTTTCTTTTTGCTGGTTGCTACAGACAGTTCAGTAAAGGGCCTAAAATGAAAAAAGAAATTTTTTTGGTAATTTTTGTTACATCGTGAAGTAGGCATGTGGCATTGATAAATTGATCTTGGGAGCTCGACTTATCAACATATTCTATTTTTGAAAATGTTTGTAACTTATCTTACTTCCTGTTGCATAAATTTCCCTTGCAGCATGACCGACAAAAACTGCTCGTTTGTGAAGGTTCCAGGTGCACACCAGACCTTGCTGCTTTTAGCAGTGTTCTGGGATTACATTGCCCGTAATTCTGGAAATAAAATGAAATTATTTGATGAATTATACAGAATTTTTCTCAGTATCTATGATAAAACGAAACAAGAAATTATGACACAAATATTTTTTAACGTTTTATCAAAGTCAAAAATGTAATTCGAGTACTTAATCCAACTATAATAAACACCTTTCAATGTAATTTTAGTATTCGGTTGTGAATAAGGAATTGGATATACAGCTCTTGTTTGTTACCGGAGGGGCGTTTCTAGAAGAATAAAAATATTACTATACAACCTAATTTGCCTAATATGTTTCAAAAATTTTTTTTTTTTTTCAAAATTTGTTGTATGTTACAAAACTTAATTTGTCCATATGTCTAAAATTTCCACCCTTTTTGTTTAAATAATTTGTTTTTTTAAATTACTAAAAGATCAATTTTTTAATATTTGACACAAATTTATGCCTCCGATTGCGTGGGATAAATCAATGTTTTGTTTGCTATGGCAAAATAATATAAACAAAGATATTGTAAATTATATCGGTGGGCGAGGCTGAGCGTTACGTGAGTGTTATCAACAGCTCAATTCAAGTAGCGATATTATGTTTTATTTACAATTGACCATCCCGTATTTCGTCATTGGTCAATTTATATTTAAAAAAATGTTAATATACCGGTGATATCTGAGGAAATATCACAGCACAGCAAATGCGAAACTGAAATATTGTGCTTATCGGTTTTAAAATCTTATAATAAGTTTATAAATGGACATTTTTGGTACAAAATTTTCTTAAATTGGTCTACTTAGGGGAATGCTGACATATGCGAATCACCAAACATGGCGCCGCAACAATTTTTCAATTTATATGACATTTATCATCTGATGACGTCATAAAGCTACGGGAGAGATGCTATGTTAACTAACTGTATAATGTTGTCCTCCCACATCAGTAAATTTCAACAATTTTATGTAATTTTATATTGCATAAATATTAACGAAATTGTCTAGAAGTCGTCTAAAGTAATTTGATGAAATTCGATAAAAATTAAAATTTCGCATGTTGAATACACAATAAACTTGTTAAATTTACTGAAATTTCGATGTACATAAATTAGTATAGCAGTATTTAACCAACGATGAGAACATGATCAAATCTTTATTCAACTCAACGATGAACATGATCACTAGTGTATGTATGTGAAATTTCTGGATATTTTCAATTGTAAATTTGTCTCGTTCGTATGAAAATTGCCCTCATTAAATTTAACTTTTTTGAAACCGAATCAAAATACATTCTTCTTAGTATCCGGTTTGTATTTGAATCTGTAACTGTGACAAAATTATTGTGTTACCATGCATGATCGTATGTAAAGTGTATATGAAACTCACATGACAAGGAAAAGTAAAAACAATGCAAATAATTGTTTACAAAAATAGCATAATAAAACAATGAAGCATTTAAGTGTTACTGTTATCTAGCGTCATTAACATATCATAACTTCATGATTTCGTAATTATGTTTCTCAGTGTTATTTAAATAACAATTAACAAAAAAATTTAAATAATTTCCGAAATGGCTTTAATATTTTCATGTTTTTTAATTTTAATTCTGATTGTATTTTAATTTGTTTACAACATTTCATACAAATATGAAAATAATTCCCGTCGCTTTGATAAAATGATTTATTTATGTCCGTTCCGTCCAGCCTAATGGCTACTGTACTGTCCGCCAAAATAGATTTTAGATTAAATTTTTTTTATAAACCAATGAACTCTAATCGGTCATTCTTGACCTTTTGAGCGTCGACGATTGCCGAACAGGTTGAAAATTAGTCTCGATAATATAAAATTGCGCTTTGATGAGACAACATGTGAAAATGGTATTAAATTTATCTTTTCTTTGTTCTGTGAATTTGCAGGGCAGTTCACGAATGTAGCTTTGATAAATAACGGTATGTTATTGAGATATATGTTCGATATAATCTTATATATGCTAAAAAAATCTTCAAAAAATTTTAAATTTCGAATACAATTTAGTATTTTCTAAGACAATATCATTTTTTTTTTAAATTTGTATTATTGTTTTATCTTATATTTTTAGATATAGGTGTACCACTTTATTAAAAATATCTTTATTACTGTATATTTAGGCATATTGTACGATAGTACTGTAGTTTAGTATATATTATTGCCTCAGAAAAGTTTTCTCATTTGACCGAAATTTAAATTAATTTCCCCTTCGTTGAAATAATTTACAGAAAATAAAAAAAAGTAATGACTCTTGGAAGATGTTCACAATCACGAAGTTTTGGTTTTGTTTACAACCTCATTATACTATAACTTCAGAAAATGAAAAAACAAAAAATAGAAAAGTACTTATTTCACGTAATTACGCCAAATGATACTCACGTTTTTCAAATTAGCCTTGCACGCATTATATTGTTTGCAATGTTTCGATATATATATTTGATTATTTTGCAAACGAATTTCGTTTTCGCATCCCAGTGATCCCCATGAGCACGTTACAATACTTTTGCAGTCAATGTTACGTCGAGCATTTGTACATTGAAAGCATTTGAGTCCTGAAAACAAAGAAAAATAATTTTTGAACCATTGTATCATAGGTCAAAAATACCATAAATAATAGTTTAGTTAGGCATAACCAAGACGTTTACAAATTCGATAAATGGAAATAGAAAAAATCTGCGTACTATTGATAACGTTCCATTTTCTACGAATTCCATCCGTAACGATATATTTCCAATTCGATTTTGCATTGTGAAATGTAAATTATTTTCATTTTTAGAAAAAAGTAATTGCAGATATTGTTTTGCATTCTTTTAGGTAATTAACATGAAATATATTTTTATGCGCAAATTTGATAGCAAAAATCTTAATTAATTTAGTTTAAACATTTTTATTATATCATGACCAACCTGGAATGCAATAAAGATAAAGTAGTATTTTCCTAAACATTAAAAGACGTAAATTTAAACTTTACAAGAAAAAGTCAGATAAATTAGACAACACATAATGACAATTATCATTTTATATAAAAAAATATCAAAATCACTTACCATGTATTGTAGTGAATACACACGCCGTCAGAGATATCAAAAATATTAACTTCATTTTGTCTGTACATGTGTATTAAACATAAAACTGAAATAGCAAAAATCACTATTATTTTAATTTAAATTTGTATATAAGGTTGTTAAGTAAAAGGTTTACTCATCCTCTGCTAAACCTTACTGCATGTTACTACAACCTGTCACTACATGTCGCAAAAATAAAGGAAGTCAGTCTCACGCATGCCTTTATATTAAAGACGCAAATATTTTTTTACAACTTTTTGGCAGAAAGTGTGATTACGTGATACCAGTTGTGACGCGTAGCGAAATGCGTTTCTCGAAAACTCTTTTCATGGGGCGATTAATGGAAAGAATTTTATCGTTAAAAATGGTTGAACAAGCGTGGGAGTATACTAAATCATGACTGCTTAAGCTCTGTTTTGCAATTTCTCACGATTGAAAAAATTATAAATAGCGCAGTTGAATATATAGTTGTAATGTTGTAATCACACCCACAAACATATAATCTCTCTTAATGGTTACATGGAAAAAATGACGTTATTTTTGTAAACTTGTCAAACATCATCCGTTAATTATAGCTGCATTTCAAGATATAACACCATTTTAGTACATGGTATCTTTACCGGAATCTACTAATTGTTCCCCAAAAGACTTGGGAGTTTGAAATTATCGTTTTTCAGAGACAAAAAGTCGTGGAAATGGGATATTTATGCATTTTTGTGAATTTTCAATGAATTGCGGTCTAAGAATGATTAGGAAAATTTTATGATTAGGACCGCAACAAAGAAAAATGCCGCTTTTAAAATATTTCTTCGGACTTGAATTTATAATATAGTCAGGAACATAATTTAATAAAATGACCGAATAAAGAATGCGTGTCTTGTGAAGTAATATTCAGAATAATTTTAACAGTTTATTTCCAATTCATCAAAATAATAAAAACTTTATTTACAACCTAAAAGTTTTGCATTAATTGTCACACAAACTTCATAACTTTGCACAAATTTGTTTTTGATATCGATCATCGTTGCGAAGAGAACGTTAGAACTGTATGTGTGATAATCTCTACGTTTCGGTATTTTCTGATTAATTTATGAAAAAATCGGTATAGATGGCGTGGGACTTCACCCCATCTAAAGTCCAAAGTATAAGGAGTTTTGATAAAAACCTTTGTATTCTATAACATTCATCGTTTATTTTGGGGGGCGAAAAAATAATGTAAAATTGCACATGGCTGCATAGTTTTTTTTTTTTTTTTTTTTTCAGTTGCTATGCTTAAAACTAGTCAAGGCAATGGTTTTACTCGCTCAGCTCACTATTACAACCTTTTAAATGCTAGCCATATTCGCTCGCCTTTTTTCTAAAATTGCGATAATGTGATTTTTGTAATCCAGACAATAAAGTAGAATGTTTATTTGTAACTAACAAAAATCTTAAAAGGAGAAACTATTTTCTTGGTTCTGTTGAACCTTTAATCCATGATTTAAATAAATTGATCTTTACGCGGTTATTTTCTGTTGTTGCTCAAAACTGTTGTATTCTAGCATTCAATTTCTGATTCATTGCTTGAATTTTTGTCGCACACTAAGAAAAAAGATTGAAATGTTCGTAATAATTGGTGTTTGAACACAAATATAATGATAACAAGTTCAATCTTCAAAATATAAATATCAATACAAAATTTCTCTTTTGAAAATTCACTTCTTATTATGAATTAAAATTACACCGATTTCATATGTCCTCGATATACTCAGGTAACATCATTTCAAGAAACGAAGTTACAATTTCATGATTTCAAAAATCTTCTCATTATTGACCACGTCTGACGTCAGTACCTGTCATATAATTCAATTCTGGCTTGCTTTATCATCATTTTCCATTGGAAATGGAAGTCACTGTTAAATGTCTCGTTTAGGACTCATTCCCTAACGGTACTATAATATACGGTAGGACATTGACCTTTGTTGCAATCTATACTATGTTGCACTGACCTTTACGTACGCATCGGTCTGGACAATGCGTAAATGTACAAAGTATAATTAGGCTGCGTCGCATGCAGTATTCGTTTCACGTAATATGAATAAAAATTTTCAAATACCGCGTCGTTTATTTTGACATTTGTCTAGTATGTTTTTACACCTCTGGCAATACGGATGATATTGACATTATGTAAATGACTTTTTAAAGTTAGGTCAAATGGGTTTACATCAAAGATGTGATATTTGAGAAAAACACCCCCGCCCTGTTTTAAAATAACAATTAATAGTTATCCCGTTGGGGTTAGGATTAGGATTGGAAAAATTTGGAAAATTTCAATTTTCATCGCAACTCGATAATTACTGATTTTTTATTTATTTTGATCGTTGGTGAGGTTGTTTTTTTCGGTGGCTTTCCACAAAACATCATAAATTAAAGCATCATCCTATTATTTTTTTTCCAAATACTGCTTATCTAATAGGCAATTTTGGATTATTTCGTATCTTTTATCAAATTTTTAATTCAAACAGTTTGTTGAAGTCTACAACAACATGTTTATAGTGCAATGCCTAATATTTTACCCCGTGCCTCACCCAATGCAATATCCAACGGTATTTCCGATAAATCTCAATCGGTATTTTTGGGAAAGGGATACTTTGCATATATATAAATAATAGTTGCAGAGGAATGGCGTTTCATAGGATAGTATATACGTTGTATTCAAGCTTCTGCCACGTCTTTCACGTGACTTTGTCGTAATGTCGGGTCCTCAGACATCCTTGTGACGTAAATTGACATGTGTAAATTAAGCTTTTCTCTTTTATCACGTCTCAAATTCAATTTCGCAATTTAAAATCAATTTTGTTAAAATATTAATACAACCAAATAGAATTCGCCATGATTGAAGGCCGGAAACAAAAATGAGACGAAACTTGCTAACAGATTAAATCAATCAAGTGCGCGTAAAGGAAATGATGAAATGTAAAGTTTTGGCATTCATTTTACTCTCCATTTCTCAATTTGACATTGGAATCAAAGTATTTACAAATTAATTAATGACATAGTAGTGTGACCAGCTCGATACAAAGCTTGCAAAATTATTTCGTTTCACAGAAAAAATTGCGTTTCAGACAAAAATAAGTTTGTTTTTCAAAGTTCAAATTCAACCTGACTTTTATAAAATGCTCTTCTGCTATTTTCCTACTTTGTAGCTGTCTGTGGATGTTATTTATGCTACAAGAGTGGTATGTCATTTTGTGAAATTCTTAGAAAATACCTTTTATCAGAATGCCACATGTTTGATTAAAATTGAAGCAAGCAAAAATGAATTCTCGATAGTGAAAATATATTACTTTATTGATTGGACAATTGCCAAATCAATAGATTGTTTTAATAAATCAGGTGTATGTCTTGAAAGAGAATAAATGTCACGAATTTCGTGCAAGACATGGCCTGTCAGTCGGAATATTGTCTACTGCGTTTTCCTCGCGATAATAGACGCATATAAAGTGGATATGACGCAAATAGAAACTGCAAAAAACCTATATTTCGTTTATATATATCAAATATCCGTCGTCGTATTATGTCGCACGTAACCATGTTTTAGTTTTCGTAATATCATGAATGACAAAGCAATTTGCTTTAATAAGTTAAATACAACAAAAATTAAATTATTTTTAAATTCAGTTTAGATTTCAATTTATCAATTTGTTATTGAAAATATCAAACGAGGTCACAATTTCCGAAATATTTAGTGAAATTAATTACCATACAAAAATAAATTAATCTCCTTTCATAGATTCAGTTTCTGTTCAACTGTTATGTTATGTAATTTTACCTGTCATTGGGTCGACATAGAATATTTTGGTGAAAAATATATATTTAAATCATTATTTCAGAAATTCAGGAAAATTGGAATATATACAGTAAATTAAGGGTGTCTCAAAAATGTCGTGTCCCACTTTGCCCTGAGACAAGTGGGGCAAACGGGACACGTGGGACAAATGGAAAAAGTGGGACAAGTGAGACACTTGGGACAAGTAAAATACGTGGGACAAGTAGGCCACGACATTTTCGAGACACTGGTAATGTAATTTGAAAGTATGCATGAGAAGAACTAAGCTATCCATGTGTTGTTGCAGAGCGTTTTTTGTTGTTGATTGAGTCTCCAAAAATGTTCAATCAAAAGATATGCATGTCTTCTGCAACGTTTCACACATTTTTTCACTATTTACAAAAAATATAAGGAGTTTCAATTTTAATTACTGAAATTCTAGCATTTATAGTTTGATGATCGTGAAATACTTGTTACGTTTAAAATAAATTAATAACTGTCACCACCGCCATATTTATTTAAAAAAAACAATGCTGTGAGCAAAAGGGTGCTTTTAAGAAGGCCCAATATTTGAAGGAAGTATAACTTCTTCAATTTTATAGTTTGATGTGTCTGACTTGGGCCTTGAGTTCATTCAACCTAACTAATTAGGAACTGAATACAAAGTTCCTAATCTATTCGTTTCCAAATTTATGTATATAATAATTGTCAAAATTGTATTCTTTCGAGTTCATTTTGTTGACGTTTTTATTGACGTGCTACTGACGCACAAGATGGTCCGCCATGTTATTTTCCATCCTTCGTCTTTCATTACTGTCGGAGAAAATCAAACATTGGACTGTGTATGAGAGTGTGCAATACTTAAACTAATTTAGAACACTTTCTTTATATACGCAAAATAACCTTTTTCGATGACGAGAAGAAATAAAAATGTAATCAATATCCAGCCCTATTTTTTCTAAATTAGGTCACAAGTTACCTGAACTGGTATTTCAACTTAAGGTCAAGGTCAATCGAGATTTATTGGCAACATGTTAATGTTGTATTTTTAACGCAAACTTGTCGAAATATTACTAGAAAATCTGCATATAGATATACAATATTGCGACAGGAATTGCGAAACAGTATTGCTTGTAGTGTCGTTGTGCTGTCGATTTTTAACAGGTTTTGCCTGTTAATATTGCCAGCTTTCTATAGAAAGAGCTATTCACAAGTTTTTGTGAATGTTTATCATTATTTAATACACATACTACATATACTACACATTTTAAGCAGTGTTGAAAAGAAGGTTTCAA